CCTGAGAATCTATAACATTCCTATTGATCCCTTAACAGCGGAAGCCTCTTTGAGTTCTAACATGTTGGCAGTCTGTAACTACAGAAGGCCATTTTCCTCCCTTGTTCAGTAAAGGAGTGGACTTTTGCCTGGAGGAAGTTATTCTGCAGTCTTCACGGCTGCCCACCCATGTGCTGCGGTAAATGCTAATGTTTCCGAACACCTGCAGTGTAAATTCTCTTTGGTGTCTATAACGTTCTAGAGAACACTGTCCCTGTTTGATACTTTCTCCACGCCTGCCGGATGCCATGATCAAAGGGGGTAAAAGTTCAATATGAAGTTCCTATGCTTAAGGAGAACACGTTCCTTTTTAACTTCTAAGCATAGAGAGCTTTGTGCAGACATTGGGTCAGGATGTGTTCCTTAGAAAAACGGAGTAAACAGAGCTGCAGTTATATTTCAGACTGGTTGGAGGCATACCTCTCCCCTGACCAACTGTGAATTCTAATTACCCTAGTCTGCCTGTCCCTCACCCTAGGGAGAGTTTTCTTACCCCTTTTCTGTTTTATCTTGGGGAAGGTCCCATTGTCTCACTGAACTCTGCTGCATCCTGTTTATATCACAAAGAGAAAAGCTCCAGCTGCCTCCCTCCCCACCTTTCTCCACCTGGAGATAATAAGTCCCTTGGCAGCCACATTCTCTGTAATCATATGAGGTCATCTTACAGGCTACCAAGAAAGAGCCATTTGTTGAGTGCCCGCTTTGTGACAGGCATTGGCTAATGGTGTTCTATGTCTTGCCTCATTCAAATCTCAGGAGGGAGGAGAAATGAAACAGAAAGTGCTCCTTCCACCAATTGCCAAAGGAAGTTGCTGGCCCCTGCGGTAGCTTGAACTTTAGGTATAATAGTCCCAGATGGAGTTCCAGAGACAGCTCTGGGTGCAGAAACTGCCTGGAGACAAATACTTTAGAAAGCGTATTTATAGGCACAAAGCAAAAACGTTTCAAAGCTGGTTAGGTGGGTATGGTAAGCAGAGGTTTAAACTGGTTTTCAGAATAACATGGGAAGGTGGGTTCTTTGAGTTACAGGTCACATGCCATGGGTTTTGTGCTCCACACCATTCAGAGGTCTGGTAGATTCACTCCCTCCCCGAGCCTTTGTCAGCAGGCTGAAGAGGACCTTGCGTCTTTCATTTTAAAGTGAACACTTCTGTGGGCTGATTTTCCTTCCACATTTGTAAAAAAAAAAAAAAGTTCTAATTCTAAGGCATAGTTCTATAATATTGCCCGATTGAATGTAGCACGTTATGTTAGATTTCTAACGTTTTTCAGCTTCTGAAATTCTGCAAAATTCTTGGTCCCAGGTCTTTAGGTTAAGCTTAAAAAAAGTTAACTCAAATTACTTCCTTTTATTTGTGCTTTTGGTGTTTGTCCTATGAGGCCAACTTTTCCTTTTTGATTATTTATTGAATCTTTTTTTTTTTTTTTAAATTTCTTTATTGATTAAGGTATTACATATGTGTCCTTATTTCCCCATTACCTACTTTCCCCAATGCATGCCCTTCCCCCCTGTTATCTGTGTCCGTTGATTAGGCTGATGTGCATGCATATAAGTCCTTTGGTTGATCTATTCCTTGAGTCTTGACGCGATGAAGAGACTGTTGTTACCTAATTAACAAATGGCACTGGCTGCTTTTGGATGGGACTCCTCCCTAAAACCTAATTGTTAGCAGTGCATATCCCTCTAATGCACATGTGTCAAACACAAGGCCCGCGGGCCAAATCCGTCCCGCCAGGCCTTCCAATGTGGCCCGCACCGCGCTGTCATCACTGCACTCCGCTGCGTTTCCATCACAATGACAGTTTATGACTGTTCAGTAAACCATTTGGCCCGCGATTTAGGCTGGATTTTAGATTTTGGCCCCTTCTCTGATTGAGTTCGACACCCCTGCTCTAACGTTAGAGAACGAGCGAGCTAGTTTTAGAAGCAGGGTGACCAGGGCAGACAAAGCCCATAGCTCCTAGACAGTTGGATTCCTGCTGGCCGGGAAATGTGGGAGGCTTGTCGGGGCTCCGCCCCTGCTGGGTGTCAGTGCCTGTGTCTGCATATTTTCTAAGATGTTTCAAGGCAATGGAGATTGCATCTGCTGCTCACCGCCATGCTGTTTCAGGGAATCAGGGAATTTTATACAAACACTGTGAACCCCAAGGGCTGATACTTGTTTGGGAATTGGGCACTTTGGGTTCGTATTCAACCCTACTTTCTGTTGCTTCGTGCTGAGAGCTCTGTTAGGGTTTAGTCATCTTTTAATCTTAGCGAAGCTATTGCTGGACTAATGAAGCAATATTAATATTGGGTAGTAATACCTCACATTTGTAAAAGGGCTTTGACATTCACAGGGTCAGTACTTCCACACAGATTATCTTTTGGGCGTATCTCAGCAGCCCTTCGATTGAGGCACGACAGGTATTATTCACACTGCATTGCCCAATAAATTGAGAATCAGACAAAATATCTGACTAGCTCAAGACCAGTTGATTTTTTTTCCTATTTTCTAAAAGAGTCAGAGAGAACTAAACACAAATACACACACACACACACACACACACACACACACACACACATCACCACCACCACTGCCATCAACTAAGCAAATTTACAGAAGACTGTATGCCCTTCGTTCCCTCCTGCTCACCAAAATAGTCCTACCATAGTGGTGAAGCAGATTGGTCATTCACTGTAACATGAAAAGCACTGCCACCTGTGGGGGATTGCTGCCGAGGACCTTCACATAGGGCCCTGCACATATTATAGAAAGGGCTTTTGAGATCGAAGGCTTTGTAGCTCAGACAGAGTGGGTGGAAACTTGTTCACTTGGCCATCCTCATGTTCCCTCTCCTTCACAGCCCTCCCACCTGACAGATTATTAAGCCTGTTGATTCTGATGTTTTCTTTGAAATCGGCTATTACCATCCAGCCCAATTTCAGATCCTCCCTGTCTCTCAGCATGCTTGCTTTGTGCTGGTCTTCTTGCCAGTTTGCTCACATCACCTTTCACATGGGTGTTTGAGATTTCCCGGGAGACAAAGCACATACTCTCCAGCCTGGCACGTGGCATTCTCCAGGCCCTGACTTCAGCAGACCACTGCCTCTTCATTTCTCAGCCTGAGCCGTGGCCTCCCTGCAAGGTTAGAGGGGCCCTCAGCATTCTTCTTCCCTGCCTTTGTTCCCACCTTGCCCCTCCCTGCAGAGCATTTGAACCCCTTTGGCAAGGTGCTGAATTCCTCTTGGTTCCTTGAAATTTGGCTTGTGTCTTCTCCTTGGGAAAAACTCCTTGGCCTGCCCTGGTGAAGTTGACCACATGCATCTTCATGCCCCACAGCACCTGCCCCCCAGAGTTCCAGTTCAGGGTGAAACTGGAACACATGGCGGGGGCCTGTCTTACCCACTAGCCTGTGAGCTTTCTGAGGAGAGGGACTGAGTCTTAGTACCCGGCAACACCACCTGGCCAGGATGCCTGGCTTGGCAGGATGTGTGGCTTCACTTCACAACCACTTCAGCCTCAGTGATTGGGATCATGACGCATACCCTTGCTTAGCTAGCTACCCAACGATACCACTAGTTAGGAGCGCTACTGGCGTGGGGTAGAGCTTAGGAAAAACACTTTCTCTGTCAAAGGAGCATTTCCTAACGAACTTGATTAGGAACTTGAAGTCCATGGCGAACCCAGTTTTTCTCTCTTCTTCTCATACATGGAAGGGGTCACAAGTGTAGACTGCAGATTAGAGTTCATTTCTACTTAAATAAGGCTTTGGGTTTTGCAGCACTAAAACAATGTTACTTGCCTCAGACAGGATAGTCAAAATAGCATGCATTAAATCAAGAGAACTTATTTGGGGATATCTGCAAACAACTTCTCTATTTGTGCTTAAAAAATTGTATAGTTTCATTATAGAGGACAGAATGTGGGAAATAATTTCTAGGGCTTTTATGTTGCCGAGGGTAACAGTTCTTAGGTCTAGTTGTTTCACACACATGTGCCAAATGGGATTCTTGTGTCATATTGTATTTGTGATGGTCTCTCATCCTACTTTTAGGACTCCAAGGGTGCCTATTTTCTGCTACTTATACAATATTTATACACTGACATCAATGATTTTTAAACTATAAAGTAATAATTAGTTTCTAAAGCCTGTGTGTTTGTGTGTGTGTGTGTGTGTTGGGGGGGGTGGGGAAATGTCAACCAACAGAATTTAGCCATTTCTTCTGAATTTTAAAAATTCCTTAAAAATTTTAGTCATATTTTTTATTATTTGTGCCATTATAATAACAAATAAGTGAGATTTGAAAAAATATATATTAAAAAAAAGAAAAACAGTTTTTGCCTTTTGACTTAGAGATATCACCAATGATGTCATTTCACTACGTATCCCATCCTGATGTTGAGTGGGAGAGTTAGAACTGTAATCTTGGTTTCAGTTTGTTTTTGTTTTGGTTTTCCCCCTGCCATAACACACTATGTTCCAGATTTTCATATTCACCCAGGTATGTGGAAACTTGGGGAATGGTGACTGAAATGTGGTTGTTGTAATTGTTTCTATTGTTTGCATCCCTTTGCTGTCAAAGACACATAAAATGAATAAGTGATTAATTGTGCAAGGTCACATAAGGCAGTCATGTCATTCTAACGTCATTCTATTCAATTTGTGAGACCACATGCTCCGTTATTAATAGTGCTTCTAATATTATAGTTACCTTGGTTTGATTTCTTTATAAATGACTCTAGCTAAAGTACCCTTTAAGAAACTTAAAGTAATGAAGAAGCGGGTATTTTCACAGTCTAAAAAGTTATTTGAACAGGTTGTTATAGAGGGAATTCAGGAGTTGGCTGGAGGATGGGCTACATGACCTTTAAATGATCTCTCATGGATTCCAAGATTCCAGTGCTTAGGCTAATGGAAACATGTAAGACACGCTGATCCTCTCAAGTGACATGATTTTGTTTGTTGTTTTGTCACAGACTGCCTCTTTAAGGTGTGTCCTATGAACCGATATTCTGCCCAGAAACAATATTGGAAAGCTAAGCAAGCCAAGCAAGGGAACCACACCGAGGCAGCCTTGCTGAAGAAATTACAGGTAAGAGCCAGGCTTCTATTTGTCTGGCTTAGGCTAGACCAGGTACAGCAGCAACAAAAAATCTATTTCCTAGGCTCGTGATTTCACTCAGTCCACAGAGATTTAGAAGAGTAACAACACATTGAAGCTGGAAGGGACTTTTAAGTGATAGGGTGTGCCTACTGATTCCCTGGTGTGTAGGTAATACGTTCCTGCTGCTGTTTTTTAGGGTGTGCCTGACAAATTCAGATTCACATTAAACTGGAAACCAGTTCAGAATCTCTGTAGGAATAGCAGATCCAGTTATATTTTACTTGGCACAGTACTTTATTATTTTTTTTCTGAAAGATTGGAAAAAGAAAGTCTGGTGTTTCTGATTTGGCTGAGGACAAATTTGATAAGACTTAATTTGTGTCATTAAAATGTCTGTTACTTTCATCATTGAAATTATGTTTTGAGACTTCTGAAATTCATCTACTGTCCTGGCTTTTCTTGCCATATTCCTCTGAAGTAATTATAAGACCACCGAGCCTCGGGCTTTTCTAAAATTTCCAACATAAAAACTTCCCAAGATATTTTTGGCCACATTTCAGCATTAAATTGAGAGAATCATCACATTATATTATAATCATGTATTTAATTATTGTCACCCTACCCTAAGCCCCAGGAATAAAGTGGCCAACCTATTTTATTCATGGTTGCATCCTTTGTGCTCTTTGTTCCTAAAAAAAACAAAAAAAACAAAAAATCCTTATTTCTTTGTCAGTTATTGTATTCTGTTTGCTATGTTTTCACTCTGAATATCATTTTATAGCATGCTGCAGAATTGGAACAAAAACAAAATGAATCAGAAAATAAGAAGCTGTTGGGAGAAATCGTGAAGTACAGTAACGTTATCCAAGTAAGTGTCGATTTACTTTCTCTTAGAAGAGGTGAACATTTTATGGATAATTTGCATTTGGTTAGGATACCAAATAGCATTAAACATTTGGGGTGCAATAGTTTGTTCTTTGGGGGTACTTACAGATGATGTGATATTTCAAGTTGACATTCAGCACACTATTTCAGGTGTTTAGTAATAAGTCTGCTATATACACATAAAGAAGTGAGCTTCTCTAGATGCATCCACAAGTTACTGCATCCAAAAGAAAAAGATAGGGAAACTTGTAATAGAGGTACTAGGTCATGTAATAAAATAGCCCTTTAGTATTAAAGGGGGCTAACGTGTAACCTATGAACCTTTATCTTTTCACTTTGTAGAGAGAGGAAAGTTTCAAATTGTACTTTTCGATGGAAATTGTCCTTGACTTGTTATTAGAAGAGCTTCCATTTCAATTAGCGTGCACACTGATTTATCGCAGCTGCATTCCTTTCTTGTGTTTCACTAGATTTATTAGCTTTTGACTTGGTTATTTGTTACTATATGCCCCACCTTGTTCCAAAAAGAATGTAAGGCATTTTCAGAAATACCACATAGAAATAAATAAAATAGAAATAAATAAGGCAACTGGGTCAAAGGGAAAATAAGTGTTGAACAAATTAGTGAAGTCAAGGGTGAGGCATGTTTATAAAAACCAGTCTGTCAAAGGATCTCTTACCCTTTGGGACAGCATGGATGGACCTGAAGAGTATGAGGCAAAGCGAAATAAGCCAGTCAGAGAAAGACAAATATCACATGATCTCACTTATATGTGGGTTCTAATGAACATTATAAACTGACCAACAAAATAGATTCAGAGACGTGGAAGCATGGAACAGACTGATAGATTTCAGAGGAAAGTGTCGGTGGAGGGGAAGAAATTAACTAAAGAACTTATATGCATAGCCCATGGATGAAGACAATAGTGCTGTAAAGGCGTGGGTTGGGGTGGGAGCCGGGTGGAGGGGGGAAAAGGAGGAAAACTGGGGGACATCTGAAATATTATCAATAATAAAAAATACATTAAAAAAAGGAACAAAACAAAACACTCAGGTGGGTCCAAAAGAAGTGGGGTTGGCCCATGAGGGTTTTCAGTGGTTTATGGTAAAACCAGAGGCTCAGTGCACGAAATTTGTGCACCGGTAGGGTCCCTAGTGGCTGCTGGCTGCCAGCCGGGGACTTTCTTCATTCTGCACTGCCACCTGGTGGTCAGCACACGTCATAGTGAGCAATCAAAGTCCCAGTTGGTCTATCTCCTGAGAGGACAATTTGCATATTAGCCTTTTATTATATAGGATAAAAACCAAGGATATTATAATGAGTTTTTCAAAAAGCTGATTTCTTTTTTAAGTTAAAGAATTGCCCTTGCCCTGGCCAGTGTGGTTCAGTTGGTGGGGTGTCATCCCATGTACCAAAAGGTCGCCCAATCCATTCCCATTCGGAGCACATGCCTGGGTTGTGGGCTCAATCTTCAATAGGGGGCATGCAGGAGGCAGGTGATCTACCTCCCTCCCTCCCTCCTTCCATTCCTCCTTCCCTTTTGCCCTCCCTCCCCTCTTTTTCTCCCCTCCTCTTTCTCTAAAATTGATCCCCAAAAAATCTCACCCAAAAAAAGAAGAAAAAGAATTGCTCTTTATTTTGAGATATTTTCCTTCTTATATTGTATTTAAATGACCATTTATTTTTGAAATGATTGTAATAATAGAAAGGAAGGTTGTTTGTTTTAGTCTTCCTACTCAGTAAAATAATGTTTTGGAAAAGTTTTGTTCATGCAGTACAAAATAAATCCAAGAAATGGCACTGCTGGGCTCATCAGAGAAGGGGTGGCTCAGCATCCGTAGAAGTTGTACAGCCCGTGTAGACTGTGCCGTCTACCTCCCGACAGAGGAAGGAATGGGGATGTCTGTGTGCAGGGATGGTTATTCATACTAAGTGTGTCTGTACATTATTTTAGTTTTGTGGTTTCTCTGTAGTACGGTTTGTTTTTGTGGCTGTGCAGGAATGTGGTTTGGGGGAACTTCCAGGTCCCTTTGGAAAGCATGGTTTTATTTTATTATTTATAATGAGAGGAAAATCAGCCAGAGTTGTTTTCTGGTTTTCCTCATGTGCCCACTTCATTATGAAGCAGAGTGGGGATGGAGGTGAGGAGGAATCCAAAGAAGTCAAGTTGGGAAGCTGGTGAGTTTGGAGTTTTTGTTTAATCTTTACCTTGTTAAGTGGGTCCATGATACGTGTACGAATGTATACATGTATTTAACAGAGGAAATCCCAGAATGAGGTGGTAACCCATGTCTTCTCCCTACAGCTACTGCACATAAAGAGCAACAAGTACCTGACTGTCAACAAGAGGTTACCTGCTCTGCTGGAGAAGAACGCCATGCGCGTATCTTTGGACGCTGCAGGAAATGAAGGGTCTTGGTTTTACATTCACCCCTTCTGGAAGCTGAGAAGCGAGGGTGACAATGTAAGTACATATAAAATTAAGAGAATGACAGTGCATTCATAAAGACAATAATTCTTCATGAGAGAACCCATAAAGTAACAAGGAATTAAGAGTTCTCAATCTTCACCTATTATTTTAATATTCCTATCTTCAATAGGTTAAAAGCACTTATTTGTCATACAAATTGTGCTCAGGAATTTTAAAAGGACAGAGTTTAAACTAATAGAATATCATCTTCCAACGCGAATTTGTGTCAGAGAACTTAAGTAACCTTAATGTTGGCTGTGCTTTAGAAGAGAGAGGTGGGGCTTGCTTTTCTGCCTAATCAGGAGGGAGCCTGGCTGTAAGGAAGCAGAACTCTGCCCAGCACAACGTGTCTGCTCCTTTGAATTAATAGAGTAACACAGTGAGCCATGGTGGTGTTTTGTTCGCTGGCTCTCTGGTCTACTGTTTACAGTCTAATACATCTTAATAGACATGTAATGGATGCAGAGCTATAGCTTGGCACTTGCTCTTTGATGACATTTAACATACGTTGTGGAATATGTGCATATTGTTTCCTGTAAATTTTGGCAGTTGCTAAATTTTGTGCTGGTTTACAGAGTAGAGAAAATAAAAATTACGGGAAATGGTTCAATAAGACCCACAGTAAGATATTTTTATGTGTAATAAAGTAGCGGGGGATAGTCCTTAGCACATAGGAGATGCTCAATACATGCTGATTGGTAGTCAATACTGAATACGTTTCCTAAATAGAATACCCCACAAATATGGGGTCAGGTGATCAAGAAAAAAAAATCATTGAGATAAAAAAAATTATAAGTTCAGAACAGTATAAAAATGTAATTATTCTGATATTTTTTTCAATTATATTTTAACTAGAGGCCTGGTGCACAAATTTGTGCATGGGTGGTGTTCCTTGGTCTGGCCAATGATCGAGGCAAACTGGGGCTGTTGCACCCCCAGGGCAGCTGGCTTGGGTGTGGGATCGTGGGAGATTGGCTGTGGTAGTGCACTGACCACCAGGGGGCAGGTCTTGCATTGAGCATCTTCCCCCTCGTGGTCAATGTTGCATCAGCTACCAGCCAGTCATACTGGTAGCTTGGTCTTTTATATATATAGATCTTGTTGGATATTTATTGTCTTAGAAATGTCTTCCTTTATAATGAATCTATTTTTCAGTGAATTTTGAAGTACAAAGTCTATTCCACAGGATGCAAGCTTCATGGTTTAATTTGTTAAAAATTATCTGGTGATGTCCTTCTAGGTAAGGTTCGGGTGCAGCATGGCATGAGAGATGTAATGCACTTTAGGTCTTGTGTTGATTCCTCAAGAAACAAGTCTTGCCTTTTTTTTTTTCTTCTTCTCTTTTTCTTTTGGCATCAAGTGATATGTGCTGTGAGCATGATACATATATTTTAATTTGAATAGGTAGTTAATTACAATCAACTCTCAATTATTCAGGGGCTGATTATGTTTATGAACAACTTATTCCTTTCCTTGTTTTGCTTGTCTTCCCCCGCCCTCCCCCCAAACCTCCCCTGACTGCCTGAGTAGTGTCCCTGTCTTTAGGAGGCCCATGAAAATTAAATGTCAAAATAGACAAAACAGGAGTTCAATCACTGAAGGAATGTGATGAAATGATTGGATATAACAGGTGATTAGATTAGCTGTAGATTAAAAAAAAAATGCATTCTATCCTGTTTATTTATTTATTCTATTTGTTCCTTCCCTGCTTCCAAGTGCCTTTCAAGGGTCAACAGAGAGTTGAATGTAATGAACTATTTGAAATCATTAGTTGTATTGTGGAAATAAAAAGAAGCCACCACCCAAACACTAGGTCTTGGTTAAAATGGACATGGCAATTGTTAGGTGCCACAGAAATCCTTTGGTATAGATGTGCTTCATAAAGCATGGCTGAAACAACCCCCCGCATCGCTGTCTGCTGAAATGGCTCACTGTTGTTGCTCACCACCGTGCAGCTTTTGTGTGTGACGGAGGATGCTGTGAAAGCATAAGCACAGCCACAACCCTGTATTTGCCACGTAAATAGTTGTATTGTAATGCTCATTTTCTTCCTTAGGAATAAGCAGCATTTTTTTTCTAAAATATTAAGTCTACAGTATTATATTGGAGGCAAATGCAAATACTGTCACTTCACAACAAATGGCTTAATATTTACTGATTTAAAGAAACCATAATAAACTTAGAAGAGGAAATTGCAAGGTTCAAAGGACCTTTAAGATTATTTTTTTTACTATTTAGCAATTACTTTCAGGTTATAAGTATTCAACAAGATGTTTGGTTACTGAAATGAAACACAAGAATGAGGCTGGGGAGAAAAATGCTTATATCTTCAAAAAGCAATGGTTTCTGTATCTTTGTCATATGTCTAAAGAATTTTGGGATAGTTTGGGGGAAAATAGATTCATGGATTCCTCAACTTCCAGCTGTATAGAAGCCCTTGCTTGCTGTTGAGTAGCTAGGAAGTCACTGGGGGAAGCCTTGAGCAGAGTACATAAATATTTTATTTTCATTCATCTTCCCATGATTGAATAGTCAGTTTTTTCATTTTCAACTTTGATCTAAGAAGACATTAGTTCTTTATCATGATGGTAGATTTTAAAAGTGAGAAAAGGATAGGCCTCTTTCAATCAAGAGAAAAATTCAACTCTTAAGGAAAGAGACTCTTCAAAAAGCAAGTAGGTTTTGCTATTTTGCAAAACTGGACTCCTTGAATTTATAGCAAAGTCAGGGCTAAGACTGATGGTCTTGCTTTATCCTGCAAGGTTCTTTCCCCGATACCAGATGCCACTTCAAAAGAAGGGTAACTGCTAGATGTATTGAATATTCTTCATTTTCAGTAAAATCCCAGCTTGAATTTCACCTGGCTGTTAAGTAGAATCGATAGAAGTGCTTTTGGAATTGAAATGTTTAGATGTTTGTGCACTAGAGCAAATGTGATGTGGCAGAAAATGTCTTTATCTCAAGTCCTGTATTTAATAGATAGCTTTTCAGAAGACAGCTGACTTCCATCGGTGGATCAGGCTCCAGGCTGCACTCTTCTGAGGATCTTTCCAAGGTCCATATTTACCAAGTTATCTAAGTATTCTTTGAGAGGAGGAACTATTTCTTATCCTCTTTTGTATTCCTCTATTCATCTCTTACTGTTCTTTTTCATTTCTTGTGATTGGCATACTGCTTGTTTCATTTGAAAGTCTTATTCAACTCTAAGTCTTAATCATTAGGAAATGACCTGGATATCAATGAATTAATGTTAGACTCTCTTTGTGGATACTGTTCTTATGAAACCTTAGAATTTGGAACATTTTGCTTATGTGGCTAGTCTCATTATGTAAGTTGTTATAATATGTAAGTTGTGCCTGGCCGAGGTAGTTCAGTGGTTGTCAACCTATGAACCAGGAAGTCACAGTTCAATTCCTGGTCCAGGCATATGCCTGGGTTGTGGGTTCTATCCCTGCTTGCCAGGAGACAGCTGATCAATGATTCTTTCTCAACACTGATGTGTCTATCTCTCTATCCCTCTCCCTTCCTCTCTGAAATCAATAAGAATATTGATATTTTAAAGTACATATAATATATGGATTGGCTCAAAGCTTCCAAACAACTATAGTAAAATAGTAAGACTTAGAGCAGTGAATATTAGTGCAACCAAAAGTATTCTTCTATTTGGAAGAACATAGCTAAAATATAGAATTACATTTAGCAACTTACTGGCTGATATTTACTTTGGTTCAGATAAGAATGACATAGTAAACCAGACCCAACTGTTCTTTAAGAAACTGGAAAACCAGATGCAGCCTCGCCAGGCTGTGGTGTCAGTCCCACTGTTTATAGTAAGGAGGACACTCAGCCTTGCATGTGGCTGAGTCAGAGCTGCCTTGGTGTCATGTGCAATAACAAGTTGTGGTGTCTTTTTTTTGAGGATGTTGGGAATATGTTTATGTCATGTTGACTTCTATATGTTCTTGTTTATATTTAATTTTAAGAAATACCAATTCATTTTTCAAAATTAAAGATACTATAAAGATATATTGTGAGCCCTGGCCGGTTTTGCTCAGTGGATAGTGTTGGCCTGCAGACTGAAGAGTCCCAGGTTTGATTCTGGTTAAGGGCATGAACCTTGGTGCAGGCACATCCCTAGTGGGGTGTGTGTGGGAGGTGGCTGATCGATGTTTCTCTCTCTTTGATGTTTCTCTATGGACTACCTATCCTCTCTCTCTCTGTAAAAAAAAAAATCAATAAAATATATTTAAAAAAAGATGTATTGTGAAACATCTTCTAGCCTTTTTACCGTCACCCCAGTTCCCACCCATCTCCCAGTTAGCCTCTAGAAGGGTTTCTTAAGCATATACTTTTACTCCCTTCCTTCTTTTTTGACACAAAAATAAACCAGCTCTGCCCCCTTTACCTCTCCCTCAGCACTGTTTCTTGATCTCTCCTTGTCTGTACACAGGGAGTTTCTATGATGGGTCTGTGTGTCACATCATCTGGCTGATGATGACTTGAAAGGCAGGGAGATCTTTAGTAGCTATTTCTGCAAACCAGGCTTCTCTGTCATATTTGAATCTCCAGATATGTGACCACAGTACCATGTGTGAATGTGGATTCCTGTATATAATTCCTGTATATATAATTCCCATAAAAGCTTAATTTACATGAAAATGTGAAATTATATTTCTTAATATCTTGGCCTAGGTCTTGGTGTAGAACAGGGAGAAGTTCTGTTTATTGTTGTCAAAGTCCTAATTTGTTTCTCAGTTGTCTATCAAATGTATTTCTTCTAATATTTAGTTGCTGTGAAATATGCATAAGGAAGGTATTTGTTTTCAATTCCCAGATGGTGAGCAATTCTATAAATGGCAGTGTAGGTACTTCAGTAATAAGTCTTTGATGGAACTTAATGACAAAAGCAACTTCACTATCTATAAAATTAAACTGTTCATTATTATAATTAAGAATGCATAAGTTAATTTCTTCACATTTTGAGTTATAAATAAAAGTGCTTAAAGATAAAGCAGATAATGATAGCATAAATGAAAAAAAAAATCAACTTAGACTTCTGTAGAGCATTTTTCCCATATCCAATTTTAATTTTAATTTTAAATTGAACACCAGGATTAAGGAGCACTATTAGTTTGATATGTTTAAGATAAAATTGAAGGAGATGCTTAAAGCCACAAACAGTACACATAGTTCTGTAAGGTCGTTCCTAATGCTACATTTTCTGAACCCAGAAGACATTAGGATGTTTAACAAATTTCTGAGATGATAGGTAGTGTCAAATTTAACAGGTCTGTCCTTGGTTCCAGAGATAATACAAATGCATATCATTACCTACTTCTACTTGAAGTGGTTCTACTATTTAGGCGGATAGGTTTTTGGGGCAGTTGCATTCACTGTGTCTGTCTGCTGTGCTCACAGCATTAATACCTTGTGGGAGGAATAATGACCTGTTATTAACGTTAAGAAAGCTCTCATTGAAAAAGAAGACTGATTAAAAAAAAGGATCTACACAAGCTTTATGAGTTCAGACTGTTGGGCACTATGGGACATGATTATCTGATCATTTATCAGAAGAATTTTACCTGAAAGAGAAAAAGAATTGAACGGAAGCTTGTATGGAAGATAAAGAGGCCAGGTGTTAAGTCAATAAAAAGGACTTTCATAGAGTTATGTTTAGCTTCAAATACAGACGATCCACGCAGTGTCTCAATGGCGACTTCTTTCTGATTCCTAGATTGTTGTTGGCGATAAAGTTGTTCTGATGCCCGTGAACGCAGGGCAGCCACTGCATGCGAGCAACATAGAGCTTCTCGATAACCCAGGGTGCAAAGAGGTACGTTCAGGAGGAAAACAAATGAATTTGTTGATTTTTCTCATGAGAGAGGAAAAAAGGCATATAGTTCCTTGCATTGTTTTCATAAGCTTAAGTCTAGGGATGCTGATTAATACTCCTAAGGCTCAAATAGATAATGAGTAGTTATTATACTGCTATTTTCAGATGGTCCTTTGGAGACATTTGTGTGGAAGTATCTACATCATTGTCCAAAGTTGTCGTTTTTCACCTTTTGCTAGTTGAAGAAATAATTTCTGTTACAACATGGAACTGCAGTGGTATAACTGGACATTTCTTCATTAATAGGTGAATGCTGTTAATTGCAACACCAGCTGGAAAATCACTTTATTTATGAAATATAGTTCCTATCGAGAGGATGTGCTGAAAGGTGTAAGTATGTGCTGCACAGAACATTTGCTGGAAGAATCAAAGGTCGTTTTACTGAACTTCCAGATGCAAAGCATGTGCATCCCCTGGTGTTCATTGTTTAGCATGTGACTATAAACCTATAAACCGAGAATGTGGCTGTATACTCACAAAAAGTGTTTCATTAGTTTTTTTCCTGTATTTTGAAATGTAGAAATAATCGTTAAACACTAAAAAGATTATCAAAATCAGAAAGATACGCTTGGTCCTTATGTCTTATGGTCAGCCTTTTCTTGATAATACAGTTTTCTTGACTTGTTTTTCTAGGGTGACGTCGTTAGATTGTTTCATGCAGAACAAGAGAAATTTCTGACCTGTGATGAATATGAGAAAAAACAGCACATTTTTCTTCGTACAACCTTGCGTCAATCAGCCACTTCTGCTACTAGTTCTAAAGCGCTCTGGGAAATAGAGGTGTGTGAAATATTATTTGGCTTTTAATAAGTATTTACATCAACAAAACAAGGTTCAATAGGCTGATTGCTTTATCATTATAGGCTTCATGTATGATAGACCAATAAGACATTACTTTCTGTGAACTGACTTGCACCTCTTTATTGCTGTGACCGATTTGATACATTACTGCTTCCTTTACCTGTCTCCTTCTTGTATAAGATGGGCATATATGTGATTTTGCTTTTAAAAAATCCATTGTGACATGTTTGTTGTCAACATTGATAAGACTGAAGGCGATATGTCTCACTGCCATTGGAGTTAAGATGGGGTAGGATGACTCACTTTAAGTGAACATCAGACCTACAATCCCTGCAAAGAACAGTTAGTTCTTCTGGGGATGCCATTTGTTTCCTATTGGGATGAGGAGAGCCATAGTTAAGGATTCATTCAACCTTTGAAAAGTATTTTTAAAATGTCCCAATATGGTAGAGTAATTATGAAAATGTAAGATATCGATTTTTCTTTACAGAACCTTTCTATACAGTGGAGGAGATAACATATGCACAATTTCTTATAAACAAGCCAACATCTGATAAATTCCATCTTGACTTAATGAATATCCAGGCTTATACATTGGATCTCAACCACCTTAAATCCAATTACTTCCCCTTTACAGCATATATTCTCTGATACTTTAATATCCTAAAATGAAACTCATAGGTAATATTATCTAAATATTCTCATGATTAAAAATTAATAAAATGCCCCAAATTATAATACGATGGAGAAATAAAAGGAAAATACTTTATAATAAAATAATATGTACTTCAACATGTAGAATTGTACTCTAGAAGATAGTATATGTATACCTAGCTTTGAAGGATACACAAGAGAAGTGGTAAATGCAGAGGGTAAGACAGCATTCTATGTGAGCACAGGAAAATGAAAGAGCAGAGGTGCATAATTAAACTCTTTAGTGCTTAACAGAAGAGACTTAATTGTACATGATTATAAAAGAGGGAAATAACCATAATTGAAACAGGGACAATAAGGCAAATTACAGACTACTGAAACAGAGAAATGAAGTAGTATGATGTTTATGCATATGAGCTGAGCCTTAATTATAAGTGTAACATCAAAATAATTCTCTAAGTGATGACATGGTTTGTAATAGAGATGAAATAGCACAAAAATGTATTTTCTATCTTGAAATCTGCCACTTGTTGAGGCATCCTTTCAGTCTGTGGCATACAGGAGAGACCATATCCCTCAGGGGGAGATAAGGAATTGAGAAGGTGTTGGGGAAAAGAGCCATCACCCTAGACTTCTCCTGACAACTTCTCTCATCCTGGTAAGACTGAAAGATAAGTTACCTGAAAAGAAATTGATAATTAAAATATGCATTTTCTACCATAAATTTCTTATCAGTATGCTCCAAAAATTAAAAAATAAAATAAAGGGATAACAATAATGTGAGATACTATTTTAAAACTTTATTAATGAAATACAATGATGAAAAGGCCACATAATGACTTCCCTCTACAGTGAATTCCCTGCATTTCATGTGCCTCTGCCTATTTGATGTTTGGCTCTAAATTTGTTGAAAGGAGTTTTGAATCTTTTCAATATATTTGCTATTAATTTTATAGCTTTGGCTGTAACTGTACCACTGCATTGAAATCCATTTCAACAAAATGCATTAGTTGGAAATGTTATAACCCGCTGAGCAGTCAGAAGGGAGAGAGCGAATAAATTATTCAATAATGTTGAGATGTCTTGAATTCATTTAAGTTTCTCTCTTCAGAGTGTATTTCTCTTAAATTATTGGCCTTCTCATATAACTTGATGTAAATACTTTTTAGTATGATTATGTATCAAAGTATTACCAATTTATATTTGTGGCGGGTTTCTTTCTGTAGGAGATTTGAAGGAAGTAGGCTGGGACACATTTCTCTGTTGTATAGTTTATCAGTCAGGAAGTCTGAGCATCAAGTGTTTCAAGAAAAGAGGTATTTCATATAGGAAATTAGGTTTCAGTGTTACTGGAAGGACTGGATGGGGAAACAGGTCGGGAGCAATGGTCTTATATGAGGATCTGCAGTGCAGTAACCCACTACTGCCCCTCCTCTGAGCCCGTCCAGGCTTCTCCTCCTGTGCTTTGGGAGTCCTCACCCACCCATGCAGTGAGCCTGCATCCCACCCTGTAGGAGCCTGCACCCCACCCTGTGGGAGCCTGTACCCTACTTTGTAGGAGCCTGCATTCTACCCTGTAGGAGCCTGCATCCCAGCCAGTAGGAGCCTGCACCCTAGACTGTAGGTGTCTACTCCCCCTCCCCCCGTAGGAGAATACCCCCCACCCTGTGGGAGCCTGCATCCCAGCCAGCAGGAGCCTGCACCCCACCAGGTAGGAGCCTTCACCAGGCAGCTGCCACCACCTTTCCTGGAGCCAAAAGAGGATCCTCTCTATACTTTGCTTCCAATTCTGATGAAATGTCTCCAGAACCCCACCAGCCAGGCTTCCTGCCCCTGTAATACAGGGAAGCATGGGAGGGTGAAGGTGGGATGGCCCTGTATGTTAACATGTGTGAATTGCAGGATGTATGATGTCTTGTCCTCTGCCCTTTATGCCAAAAGCATTCCTCCCAAGTCACTGTGACAAATGAAAACATCTTCCTTTCTGTATCTCCAAATTGTCCCCTAGGGAGCCGTACTCCCATTGCTAGGCCTACTATAGGCTAGTTCTTAGTCTGGGATCAATGGTGATTTTCAAGTTATTTGTTAATCTCTAGTATGTGTATACAAAATGTGTGTGTGTGTGTGTGTGTGTGTGTGTACATAAGAAAACCAAGATTTATCAGATTCTCGAAGGTATCTATGGCTCCCCCAAGGGAGCAAGAATTCAGACATTGACAAGGTCACAGATGCTGATGTGATTAGCAAAGGATTTGTGGAAGAAGTTTGATTTGAAAACTGAGCCTTATAGGATGGGCTGGTTTTAAAGACTTTATCCACTTGGAAGTATTTTCATAATTATCTCATTGGAGCTATTGGAGTAGGAGAAGACATAGAAGATGGAGTCTAACAAAAGGCATAGGAAGTTGCATATATATTAGCACACAGAACATGGGACTGAGCAGGAGTTCTGGAGTGATCAGTATTAATAAAAAGAAGCTAACTGTTGAGGGAGAATGATGAAAAGTACTCCTAGCGGTCTGGTATGTCTTATGATAGTTATCACCACAACAATCCTATGAATTAAACCCACTTTATACACGAAGAAAAAGGCTTGAAGATGTTAAATTATTCACTGCAATAATTCCATAGTACCTGGCTGGGCTGGGACTCAAACACAGTCATCTTCAGGCTGTAAAGCCCGAGTCTTACTACTGCACCAAACTGGCCATTACCACCTGTTTCAGATCTTCTGCTTTTATTCTCAACCAGCCTAGTGGCTCAGCATTTGGGGCAAGGCCACTTCCAAGGACAGGCATCAAAGGACCTGGTGCTAGCCAGAAGCACACATGGGAAGGGCCAAGAATTAAATTGTCCAGACCTCCAGGCCTGGGCATTTGTGGTTCTCTCTGCCTGGAATGAGCTCTTCCAATCTCTCTGCATGACTGTCTCATTCTTATCTCTGGGTTTCTGCTCATACATCACCTCCTCATGCTGTGTGTCTTGTCTTAGGCTGAGGTCCATGCTAAAGTAGCCTTCCCTGGTTCCTCAAATCTTATTCATTGAAAGCTCTAGCCTTGTTCTTTGCTGTGTCCCTATTGTCTAGAAGACCACCTGGCACATTACAGGTTTTTCATACTGTTTGTTGAATGAATGCTTAAATAACAAATGGGGGGAACCCCACCATATTTCCAGTTTTGGCCTGGGACTATGTCTTTTCAGTGAAGCTGTATTTGCAGACATAAAGCGTATTATCATGCATGTACAGTGAGTTCACTGTTATGTCCTTTGCTCGTTTATGGGGACTTTTATTTTTTTGCCACGTTGTCCTCTCACGAAAACACAGATTTGAAGAGTTAGCATCAGCAGGCAGGCACCCTTTGTAAACTGTTGGCATTTGCTTGCCAGGTCCATGAATATGCTTTAGCCATTATGGTCCCTGCTCTTTCTGTCTGCAGGTGGTTCATCACGACCCATGCCGTGGGGGTGCGGGGCAGTGGAACAGCTTGTTCAGATTCAAACACCTTGCAACTGGGAACTACTTGGCGGCAGAGGTAAGACTGATGGATGTAGTGCTATGGAATCTCTGATTCTGAAATAGGGAAATAGGCAGTTAGGTTTTCTAAAATATATAATATTTGCAGGAGCAAGTCCAAATTGGGACATTATACACGTTTCATTACTGCCTATCGTGTTCTGGGTTGACGGATACATTTTTCTTCAAATGTGAACATTAACTGAAGCCTTCAAATAATCTTTGTCTTAAACAACATAAAATGAGAGGCATGGGTACATGGAACAGATTGACATATGTCAGAGGGAAGGGGGCCGATGAAAGAAGGTGAAGAGATTAGGCAAAGAACATATATGCATAACCCATGGTCATAGACAACAGTGATGGCCAGAGGGAGGGGGGATGAGGCCTGGGGCTGGCATGAGGTGAGTAAAGGACGGACAATGGGGGACATCTGTAATAGTGTCAGCAATAAAAATATTAAACAGCAGCAGAACCCTGGGGGTTGGTTTACTGGAAGGTCAAGTGGAATGGGGTATCTGATTTGCATATTCATGTGATTGGTCCTAAAATTTCCCATGGAGCTTCACTCTTTCAGAGTGTCTGCATTGGAGAGGTGATCAGCTCATTGTTGTATAGTCTGGGTAGTTTCAGGTTTATCCCCAGGGGCCACTGTTTCACTGTTGGGTGGCTTTCATTGTTGACAACCCTGGAGAGGAAAGGGTTTTCTTGCCCAGACATAGAATTTTCTGAGAACTGTCAATAAATATGGTAAAAACATGTAAGCTCTTTTCTTTCTCCGCTGAAAGCATTGCTTATAATCATATAGACAGGAAGGGTGGAGAAAAGTAAAAGCATAGAGGTTTTAGAAATGATTTGATTAAAGGGTGGTTATCTAAATTGAAAATAATTTAGAAAATACTGTTGTTTTTTTAAAGATGTATGAAAAGATCTTTTCATTCTACTCAACTCTGTTTTTGTTTTTCAACTTTGTTTCTTCTGAGATTTACAACCAGCATTTGGGGTTTTTGGTATTACTTATCTAACTTTGGGGTTTAGATATGAGGGAGGGTGAGAAAGTGGGGATGGAGAACTGATGAGAAAAAGGTGTGGGACACAGGACATTTCTATAAACATGCCGATCCCCTATCTAAACTGGCACCCACCCCATGCCCTCTCCATCCTATTAATCTGTGTTTACTGCCATCTGATTTGTTGTGCATTTTCTATTATACATACTTATTATCTTTCTCTATCAGAATGTATGTTCTATTAAGAGAGGGAATTTTCTTAACATCACCACTGTTTCCCCTGCACCTAGGACAGTGCCTAGAACTTATTTGATGAATGTATTTGGGATGAATTAAGGAGTATAAAGAAGCTATTCAGGCTTCTATACTGGGAAGGAGAATTTAGGGATTTGTATCTGAGAAGCATTTGGAACCACATTTGGGCAAATTAATCTCTCTAAGCTTCAGTATCCTCTGGTGAAAGGGGGATAATCACAATATTTATATAGTAAGATTACTAAGAGAATTGAATGAGGTAAAGTGCTTGGCACAGTGAGTACATGGCTCAAGGTAAGTGGCATGATTCATTTTATTATGTGATAAATGAGGATTCTTCTTATTTTATATATACCTGACTCATTATTTATGAATCCCTTCAGCTGAATGAAATATAGCGTTGCAATTTATGGGCTTCTTATACTTGTTTTGAAGTTTTTTGAAAACTGTTTGAAGCAAAGTTATTATAAGTAGTCAGGTAGAAAATTTTTATCCAGAATAAGAATTAGAAAAGTCTACTAGTTGTCTCAAAAAAGATAAACTAGGATTAAAATTCTTTTGGCTTTTATGTTCATTGTTCTTTTTCTTAATTCACTTTTCAATCAATGGATGTTTTAGCTACAGATGTTGTCTACAAAAACGATATAATTACATATTGTTAGTTTTCCTCATTAATTTCTGTAATTAAAACTGTGTCATTTGATACATTCAATTGGATTCTTAAGAATTAAATTGTTGATTAACTTTAATGAAGATCCATGTCCTCAATACATACCGTATTTTTCGGACCATAAGACGCACTTTTTTCCCCCCAGAAGTGGGGGGGGAGGGGGAAGTCCCTGCGTCTTATGGTCCAAATATAGCCTACACATATACTTTAAAAAAAAAAAGTTTTTTTACTTGCCCGGCTCTGTGTGGTCTCTGTGTGCTTGCCCGGCTCTAAAATGGTTCTAAATGCTGCTGTTTACTTTACAGGGTTGATTACATGTGTTTATGACTGTGATGTTGGGTTTTAATGCACATAAAATATTTTAGGACACTATTTGTTTCAAAATCTTTTTTTCTTCATTTCCGTTCTCTAAAAACTGGTGCGTCTTATGGTCCGAAAAATACGGTAAATGAACTCATTAAACACTGAAAAGTAGAAAGCAGCTCAGACCTGTACAGAACTTGAAGGATTATCTTTTCATTGTATTTCTAGAGAACACGACTTCAAATGTCAGATGCTATTTCGTTCATTAAAGAGTCTGATGTGTTTGTAGGATCTCTTCTGTCATCTTTAATACTTTAGATAACATATTTTTTTTTGGCAAGGTGAGAGAAGGAGAATTAAGCATTAACATGTATCTGAAAATTAAAAGCTAGGGATCTATTTTCTACTGACTTTAATTAGTATAACAGATTGGGTGATTCTGTGTAGTATTGTAGTGTCAAAAAAGAAGTCATAGTTTCAACATACTGACATTCATTAGATGGGGTTTTACACTTCATATGTCGGCTCTGTCCAGACAAGTCCTACCTCAGCCGCTTGTGCTGCTGGTGGGAAAGTGTCCAGAGGTGTGGCGAAGTCACAGCGGTTGTAGTCACTGCCGCTTGACAAAACACTGATTTTCAACAATAGGTGGAAACTAGCCTGTGACAGTTGAAAAACAATGATCATCCTTTTGCTTTTTAAAGATGCCCAGATCTTTCATTGTAAAGCATTGTTCATGTCATTGAGGCGGGGTGGGGAGTTCCCAACTGCTGAGTTGTAACATCCTAGGAGCACTTGTTTTATTATAAGAGAGAAAAAGCTCCATGGCTTTTATTCATTTTATTTTAATATCCAGAGACTACTTAAAAAGTAAGACACACATGTTGTGATGTTGAAAATGCTGGAGTTGTAATTATTTTGGAACTTATAAAACAGCAAACACCATCTTTAAGGTTTCAGACCTGCTTAATAGGTTTCTTTAGTGCCCATGAACTACACAGCCCGGTAGAGAATGCTGCAGGTAGAGCAGGAAACAGAGGACTTAGTCCTTGCCCTTTCTGAACTGTCTAGTGTAGAAAGCAGCACATAGTAGATGACACAGGATTATCAGCGGGCAAGGTCGTGGAGGGCTGATTATGTGTGTGTGCAGGTAGAGTCAGGTTCGTGTGAGATTAACTAAAGAAGGCTCTTGCTTGAGGTGAACTTTTCCATGGTTCTCAAATAAAGCAATACACCCAGGTTGGCAGAGAAATAAAAGGGAAATCCTTGTTGACATTACCAAGGAGACAGATAGAGATGTGGAATGTCTAAATAATGTAAAAAGAGAGGGCAGCTGAAAGAAATGGGTTCCAACCAGAATTACTGAGTGACAAACCCTTTGTTTGTAGGCTTTAAAAGGAAGTGTTTGAAGGGATCTAATTAGTAACAGGAGTGAAGTTGGAAGTTGATCCTGGCATCTACTCTGGAGGTCGGGATTGGACAGCTATTTGTAAACATTTGGTAGATACCAGTGATGTCATTAGAAAAATCTATTTTCCACCCTTGAAGAGCTCTCAGTACTGTGAGATAAATGTATTGCAGAAAATTGGATTGTGGCTGGCTTATGAGAAAGCACTGAAGTGCAACACAACTTTGATAAAGGTGCCAGGGAGGTACAAGGAAGGGGGAGGAGGCCAGAGGAGGACTTGCCAGTGGAAGAGGAAGGCAGGTGCGAAAGAGTGTGCTCAGGCAGTGGGGACAGCTTTTCCACAGGGAAGGAGGCCGGGGGTATTGTACAAATGAGTTCCATGTACAATACATATGTCACATGTAGGTGTGGTGGTAGAAGGTTGGAGGAGAGGGGTGGGTCCAAAAATAGAGGGCAGCTACCTTTTTCAGGCCACATATATTAAGCTAAAGAGAATAGGTTTTATCTTTAAAGAACTGTGTTTCAAATAAATCTGTGCTTAAAGAGGAACTAGGGATATATCCCAAGAAACCTGAAACACCAATCACAAAGAATGTATGTACCCCTATGATCATAGCAGCATAATTTACAATAGCTAAGAGATCTGGAAACCGCCCAAGTGCTCATCAGTAGATGAGTGGATAAAGAAGCTGTGGTATATTTACATCATGGTATACTATGCAGCTGTCAAAAAGAAGGACCTCTTAACCTTTGAGAGAGCATGGAAGGACCTGGAGAGTATTATGCTCAGTGAAAAAGCTAGTCAGAAAAAGACAAGTATCACATGATCTCACTCATATGTGGTATCTAAGTAACAAAATCAACTGATGAATGGAGTGGATCCAGAGACATGGAAACATGGAACAGGTTGCGAAATCTCAGAGGGAAGGCGGAGGAGGGTGGATGGGTAGGAGGTAATTAACCAAAAACTTTGCTTAAGCCATGGATGCAGCCAGTGGGGTGGTGAGGGCCCGAAGCGGGGGGTAAGGGTAGGCTTGAGGGAGTAGGTGGGGGAAAAAAGGGGACATATATAATACTCTCAACAATAAAGATATTTTAAAAAGGGGAAACAAAAGAAAGAAGGATCTGTTACCCTTGAGACAGCATGGAGAGACCTGGAGAGTATTATGCTAAGCAAAATAAGCTAGTCAGAAGATGAGCCCTGTCTTCTTGAATTTCTATGGAGGCTTCATTATATAGTTACTAGAGGACTGGTGCATGCAAATTCGTGCACTGAGGGGGGTGGTCCCTCAGGTTGGCCTGCACCCTCTTGCAGTCCAGGAGTCCTCAGGGGATGTCCAACTGACACTTAGGCCTGCTCCCAGCAGGGAGCTGCAGTCTGGCCTCCCACTACAGGAGGCGACCGAGCAGGACAGCTTCCATCACCCTGCTGCTGGTCACCGCCCCTCCACCCCATCGCCATCCCCTCCCTCTGCCCATTGGCATGCACCTTGGCTGTCCTGGCCCCACCTGCTCTTTGGCCCCACCTCCTGCCAACCAATTGTTTCACTGTTCGGTAGATTTGCATATTATACTTTTATTATATAGGATGATTGATTAAATCATTGGCCTTTGGTGAACAAGTCACCATCCTGCCTTGTAAAGTCCCAACCCTGCAATCATAGCCTCCATCCTTAGGCTACCTAGGGGCATTCCAAAGTCAACTTTTTAATGTTACAAAAGACACCTTTATCTCTCTCACCACCTAGGAAACTCCAAGGGTTTTAGAAGCTCTGTGCTAGAAAAGAGCTGAACACCCAATATTTATTCTTTATTATAATTCACAATATCATAGATACTAAAGTAAGCAGGGACCCTTATTCAATTTAGAGATTCCAACAGTACTGCTTTATAGAATTCAAGATTTGTTTTGGAGATCTACACAGTGCTATAAAACTGTGGACAAAATGTGGAATAAAGTATTTAATTATGAATGAAATAATATATTTGTGACTTCATCAGGTACTGCATTATGGTTCAGTTCTCTCCCTATAATATCTGTTTCTGTGGGCCATTCATGTAAAAAGGTGGCATACACAGCACAATTTTCAGCTGTCAGCACACTCACCGCCAGTTTGCCATAGATCTTTTACTCTTGTCACCTATTGGTACAGGAGAGTTAACAGCCATATCTCTGGGGGAGAGTGTAATTTTATTAATTTTGAATATGATAAGGGAGCCTCAGTAAATAGTACTTCCCAGTCATGGGAAGAATTATAAATCAGGCATCACAATTTATGATCTGCTTTCTACACCTTCTTTCTTTGAATATTACTAAAGCAGGATAGATTTGAGTAGTGAAAAATAATGCTACCAGTTAAAGATTTTATATTGCCTTTTTAACTTGCTTATTTGTTTGTAGGTAGGCAAAACTTCCACCAGATGGCAGTAAATACTTATTTTCTAAATATGCAATGGCCTTTGGATTTAATTAATTAGTTAAAAACAGTATTCAAGATCCTGTACATTGGCATATGATGTTATCATTATTAGGGCTATAGTTTTAAATATCCCTAAATTTATCTGGAGAGCAGGGTTTGTATGTATGTATATGGATATGTATGCATACACACACACACACACACACACACACACACACATAAATACAATAGAACATACATACCTGATCCTGTATACACAAATATTTATGTAGCAGATATTATACTAATATATTAAGTAAAAATTATATATCAAAATATAAATTGTGCCTGGCAATATAAGCATTTAGTAAATGTTATTCTTCTTTTTGTTTAGACTTATTAATCATAATAATAGATTGAATCTGAAAGGCCAGTAATTAGTAAGAGGAATATACATATATGAACATTTAAGAATACACACATAGTGACTTAATGACTTTAATGTCATGTACAAGAGTAATAGATTAAAGAACATTCTATTATTAAAAATTAACATTTTTCTTTTGAACTTACATGTTTTTGGTTTGTTTCTTGCTATTGTGTTAGATGGAAGTTGTAGTTGTCTTTCATTTGATTGTGGTACGACCATGACTTCCACTGCTTAGATGTTTCTACACTCTCTGCCTGCCACTTTTCTATCCTGATGTGACATTCTCTATGTGACTTTTCTTTCTAGTCCTCTTTGGCCATTTAAATGAGAACTCCCTTCCAAGGTTAGAAGTGGGTTTTGGTTCTTTGTATTCTCTTGTTGTCACTCACTCCCATGGCTTTAGTGGTCCATTAATTTGATCTCAGATGCCCCACTGCCATTGAAACTCATATAAACTCTCTCTCTCTCTAAGTTATATATCTATATCTATATCTATATCTATATCTATATCTATATCTATATCTATATCTATATCTATATCTATATCTATATCTATATCTATCTATCTATCTATCTATCTATATATATACATATATATATATATATCTAAGATGGAATTATTTTACTGCAAAATAGTGAATTTTCTTAGTTCAGGGTTACAAACTTGAGAGTCATGATAAACATGTTTTTCTCTCTTAGTTTACACCTTTAGATTCCACTGTCTGAATCTGTAAAATCTTCTGTATTCATGTTCTCCTTCCCTTGTCAGCACTGCTATTTTTGTTGGCTCTCTACTACCTCTTACTCCAGCCTTGGCTACTTTGTCTCTTTCATCCTCTGTCTCCATGGCCAGTTGAGGATTTTTAATGTCTTGTTTCTGCAAATGTTTTCTCAAAGATATTCAAAATTATTCTGAAGATGCAAACCTGTTAGCCCGGGGCTTCCAATCCCCATTGGTCTGTGCTGGACTTCCTTTCCACCCTAGGCCACACCTCTCCCCCTTAGGAGGCAGGAAGGGAGTGATGCTGTCGAACTAAAAGACGTGGCGTTGGAACCTTCAGACCAGTGCTTCCAAATCGCCCTGCCCCTCCCCAGCACAGAGACTTTGCACAAATACTTCCTTTGATGTGTCCCCAGGGCCTCCTCTGAAAAGGGGTTAAGAATCACTTCTAATAGGATAATTATAGGGAGGAAGGATTAACCGTTAAAAGCATAAAAAATATTGCTTAAGTGACATTTATGGGTCTTCTCTGAGCAAATCTCATCTTCTCACTTACATGGCACTCACTCCCTTGCACTGCCTGTCTGCTTCCCTCCTTCTTTCCCTCTTTGCCAGTTACAATTCTGCCCATCCTTCAAGGCTTTTCTCAAATGCTACCTTCTCCATGAATGTAGTCAGGGTTTTTGTTTTGTTTTGTTTTGTTTTGTTTTTGGTTTTTTTAGATTTTAGACAGAGGAAGGAAAAGAGAGAGAGACAAGAGAAGAGGAGACAGATGTGAAAGAGACAGATAGATTGGTTGCCTCCCACATTCACCCTGACAGGGTCCTGGGATTGAGCCTGCAATCCAGGTATGTGCTCTTGACTGGGAATCCAACTGGAGACCCTTTGATGCACAAGCTCATGCTCTAACCATTGAACTCACCAAACAGGGCATGCATTTATTCTTGAATAAATTTTCTGACCACAGATTCCTCCTTCTGACCTATATTATTTATAAATTATTCATTTCTGTCTTATATCTCTTGCCACATTCTATTTTGTATTTAGGCTAACTGTATTTATGTCTTATTTCTCCTCCTAGATTATATGGTCTCGTGGTCAGGGACCATATTCTCTTTGTATTTCCTAAAATACCATATGCCACTGTACTTTACCCATTATAAACGCTCTGTTAATAGTTTTTGGATAATTGATTGGATAGCGTATTAAATCTTTTTTCCCCAATCCAGATTTATAATTTATTTTTAACATAAGGAAATATTTTCTTTAAAGTAGTAAAATAGTCAGGAATCTCCATATGACCATGTCTTTTATCTTCTTTTTGAGAAATACATTTTCAATTTGTCCTTAGTTTACTTATGTTAATAATTACTGTCCTTATTATATTTAGAGAAGGAAAGCAACAGTATAATTACAACATACATTGAAACATGTATATATTTATTTGGCCTTTAGTTAATATTGGTGAATTTATATAGCCAGAGATTTATTTGTGTAGCTTCTCTTTTCCCCACTTCTCCAACTCAACCTTCTCCTCATCCTCACTGTTATCACTTTAATAAATTCGCTGAAGCAGCAACCCTATATTAATTATTAAAAGAAAAGTTTGCAGTCTGAAAGACAACACATGTGTAAAATTCATTTTTCTTATTGGAATGACACTAAACTCCACAGTCCAAGCCCACAGACGTATTTTGTTGTTTGCTTGTTTCACTAGTTCTCATATTAGCTCACATATCTGATATCTATTCTAATAAAAGGGTAATATGCTAATTAGATTGGATCAACAAACCATCTTCCGGATGTCGGACTTCTTCCGGACAAAACCATGGTGGTGAGGGCTGAGGCAGAGGCAGTTAGGGGCAATCAGGCCAGCAGGGGAGGGAAGTTGGGGGAGAGATCAGGTCAGCAGAGGAGGGCATTTGGGGCAACCAGAATGGCAGGGAAGGGCAGTTGGAGGCAACCAGGCTGGCAGGGGAGGGCAGTTGGGAGCAACCAGGTCGGCAGGAAGGCTTTTGGGGTGAGATCAGGCTAGCAGGGGAGGCAGTTAAGGGCAATCAGGCAGGCAGAGGCAGTTAGGGGCGATCAGGTCTGTAGGGGAGAGTAGTTGGGGGCAAGATCAGGTTTTAGGGGAGGGCAGTTGGGGGTGATCAGGTAGGCAGGCAGAGGCAGTTAGGGGTATCAGGCAGGCAGGAATGTGAATGTTTAGGAGCAAGTGGTCCCAGATTGCAAGAGGGATTGGGCCTAAACCAGCAGTAGGACATCCCTCAAGGGTTCCTCGATTGGAGAGGCTGCAGGCTGGGCTAAGGAAACTACCCCTCTACCCCTGTGCACAAATTTTGTGCACTAAGCCACTAGTATATCTGATATATTTCTCCCCTTTCCAATTTTCTTTTCTTGTGTGTATAGCTTGTGGAGCATGATCTTGACTCATTGTTAAAACTTTCCTTTGCTGTATTTTTGAAAACTGGTGTCTGAGTTATTAGTCAGTGGTAGAATTTGTGGTTTGTAAAGTGAACTCATTTGAATGCTTCTTCAGAGGAGGTAGGATTGTCAGCTCTCACCGTTCAAAGATGTCAACTCTTCTTATAAAGCCCATACACCTGGCATTTTAGCTCCTGTCTTCAACTAAAGTTTGAAGGTGATGTTTTAAATTGTAATGTTTGCTAATGGTTTCTTTCTTAGCTTCTTTTCATATTATACTTAGTTAAGGGTACAATAGTGAACTGAATTAAAGATCATTGATCTTGTTAATGTGCTTTTAATAGCAGTTCAAACTAGTTTTTGTTGTTGTTTGTTTTTTAGCTTAATCCTGATTATCGAGATGCCCAAAATGAAGGAAAAAATGTGGTGAGTAGAATTGTTTTGCCCACCCCCCAAACAAATCCCAAATATATTGTTTATATTTTATATGAACAAATTGAAAAGTTAATAGGAAATTTCAAGACAAGAGTCTCTGAGGGAGATTCTCTGAGTAGAGGCTGTGGTTCAAAGCTAAAAGGGGAAAGATGAATGATACGGCTTAGATTATAAGGTATCTACCCTGTTTCCCCGAAAATAAGACAGTGTCTTATATTAATTTTTTCTCTCAAAGTTGCACTAGGTCTTATTTTCAGGGGATGTCTTATCTTTCCATGTGCTAGGTCTTATTTTCGGAGGATGTCTTATTTTCGGGGAAACATGGTACTAGTGGATATTTAGGGATATTTCTAGCAACTTGAAAGCCATTTGTGATTGAACACTGAAGGCAGCTAGCATCTGAGAGATATGGTTGGTCTAGAGTTAGTTTTCAGAAATGAGAAAAAGTTAGGCAGGAAAAATGGAATCATGGCATCATATTTAAATAGGACAGTAGGACAATCTTTTAAAAAAAACATATTTTATTGATTTTTTTACAGAGAGGTAGGGAAAAGGGTAGAGAGTTAGAAACATTGTTGAGAAACATCGATCAGCTGCCTCCTTTACACCCCCCACCGGGGATGTGCCCACAACCAATGTACATGCCCTTGACTGGAATTGAACCTGGGACCCTTCATTTCGCAGGCCATTGCTCCATCCACTGAGCCAAACTGGTTAGGGCCAATCTTTTTATTCGGTATAATCTGTGTTCTACTTACAGGGGGACATGGAAGTATCAAACAACTAGATGACTAATTTTTCTGATATCCTACTCAAAGGGCATCATATCAAAGTTTCAAATAGTGCAATTGAATTGAATTGAATTTCTGAGCTCATCTCCTTTCAGCTACATACTACTTGGTGGTGCCGCTAATAATTCTGGGCAGAGCTGAGTGGGAGAACAGAGAGTATGAAAGTTTATGGAGCAGCATAAAGAATATAAGTAATAAATCCATGAAAGTTCACTCTTTGTGTTAGTTAAGCTTTCACTTAGACGTGATAGATTTTTTTTTCCTTTTGATTCTGGAATATAATTTCTTCACTCACCTCTAACGGTGAGAAAGGGCACTCTTTTGTTTGAGCAATACTTTAATTGCAGGTCACACAGGTGGTTCTGCCTTTGCTGTAGAAGTTTATGACTGGATGTCATCTGTCATCTCAGAGACACATCCAAGTGAAGGCATTTTATATTTTATTCTATTCTTTTCCTCTCCAAAAATCCCCAGCTTGAAAGTAAATAAAACCTAGAACATGGAACAATAAAGCTAACAATAAGGCTCCTCATTTTATAGACCATTTACCACCTAGCAATAATTACGTTTCTATGTAAAAAATAGAAAACAAAGGAGCAGCTAGAGTTTCACCTATGAAAAATGAAACCAATTTCCCAAAGCAGAAGAGAATTCCCTCTCACCTCAGATCTGGGCTCCAGTAACACCGAGTTCACTGTGACCTTGCTAATTACTCTCTTTCCTAATTTTCCCTGTGTTGTCTGTTTAATATCCAGTTGATATTTCCCCTGTAATTTATCAACCTTTATCAAAACGCTGCCTTCCGTGCATGAAGTGTCAAAGGTTAATGCATGGTGCTGCTGAAGTGAGGTGGTGTGTGTCAGAGCTCCCATTAAGACCCAAATTGCTGTATTTATTCTACAAAAGAGCCTGTTATTTCCAGTCTTACAAATGTAAGGCATCCACAGGGACTCTGTAAATACTGGAGCTGTGTCAAGCCTGACCGGAAACCTGACAGTCATTTGTTTCTTCTCTTTGAAAGGCAGCATCTTTTCAAATGGCTCGTTGAAGGCGGTTTTGGGGAGATGGCACCGCCCATTTGAGCATGACCATGTTTATGTGGGATGTGGTCTGATTTTTTCAAGGGCGTGTCTTCTGTCTGTGCTGAGGATTCTTGACCTCAGCAATATTGATGTCTTAGGTCGGATGATTTTTTTGTTGTGGGGGCTTTTCCTTTGCATCGCAGGATGTTCAGCAGCCTCCAGGGGCGCTATACTCACTGGATGCCAGCCGTGGTGGCTCTTCCTATCCCAAGCTGTAGAACTCTTAAGTGTATCTGGGAATTGCCAAATGCCCTCCTGGGGACCAGACTTTCTTCCTGTTGAGAACCATCAGTCTTCCCCCCCCCCCCTTTTTTCTTTTTTTAAAATTCATTTTTATTGATTTTACAGAGAGGAAGGGAGAAGGATAGAGAGTTAGAAACATCGATGAGAAACTTTGATCAGCTGCCTCCTGCACACAGTAGGGGGATCAAGCCCACAACCACCGTGCATTCCTGATCAGAAATGAACCCGGAATCCTTTTAGTCCATGGGCCGACACTCTGTCCACTGAGCCAAACGGGTTAGGGTGAGAATCATCAGTCTTTGTATATAAACATACACAAACAAAAATGTTCTAGGAACTATGAAACTTGAAAATTCTATTCTGTAGAATTTTCTTTTTTGGGGGCGTGGGGTGGGTGAGTGGGTTGGTGTGTACCGGATTCTGAAAGACCACCATCTGTCACGTCTAAGTAAAACATTTCCTTGAGTTTGACTCTATAGTCATCAGTGGTAGTGTGATAAGGAAAAGAAAAAGGGGTCATATTGAGGTTTTGTTTGAGAATAACGGATTGTTGAGGAACCATGGCAAAAGAAGCGTCTGCAGCTTTAAATGGCAGGATCGTGTCTGTTACATAAAGTCAGCAGGCAGAGCCCCTGAGGGTCTGAACAGAAACACAGATGCCTGCACATCATTATGCGCCTGTGGCCTCACACAGGTCTGAATCAGCCCCGAAAACGCATACATTGTTTCTTACAGAATGTCTCTGGCTCCAAACAACAGAATTGCAACGTGATGTCTCTGCTAAAAATCCGATGACTCACATGTGAGTCAACAGAGAAGGTGTTACAGGAGGCTAACTGCCGAGCTGCCCAAGGACAGGCAGGCGAAGCCAGGCAAAGCCTGGAGTTTATGGGCCTGGTTTTCAGAAGGGATTTTCAACTCCTGTAACGCGGGAGGCTGCCTGCCTTTTCTTCCAAGTGAAAATGCTCGTTTTATAAGAGCCCAGCAGACTGGGTTAATATTCTGAGGCACTGCATTCCCTAAATTGAGTGTTTTGGATAGCTAGCTGATTTTAAATTTAGCACCTGTCTAAGCTCTGTTGTACCTTAATGGATTCTCAGGATGCAAGAGGGAAGGCCTGGTGCTTCTGTAATTCTCTGTGGGGAGCTAGTGCTTTTGGGTCTTTTTCCCACTTAAAAAATGGTGTGGATTTATATACAAAAGCCACAGACACATAATTTTGAGCAGAACTGTCTTTGTGTTACAGAACTGTGAGACTGAATTTCTTATACAATGAGGCTTGAGCCATACATTTAAAACTTGTGATATCTATCGCCCATTATTTATATTTTACTCCTTAAAAATATTGAGGGTCTGGCTTGAATTTTACTGTCAGACTGTTTCCGAAGGAGAGTTTAAGAGATTGGAAGCAGAAAATGTAAGAATGCAGCACTCTTTAAAAATTTCTTAACAGGTTAAAAGCTCTTATTCACACTAACAATTATTAGGCTATTTATAAATGAAACTTATCTATTCATTAAAGCTTTTCCCCCCAAGCACCTAAGTAAATTATTTAGTAGTACAGTAGTAGATTCCACTTATCCTATGTAATTAAAATTAAACCATGGGTCTTAAATAGTGAGTAACTCAGAGTGACCTTTTAAAATTAGCCCCAAGAAGTGAGGTTTTTCCATGCTTAGAAAAGATTTTTAGTGTTCAGTATAAAGTAGGTCTCTGACGACTTTGGTTGGGACCCCCACTGGGAGATGTTACCAAGGAGGATTGGGTAGGAGGGCAATCTCAAGGTCTTTTCATAAGTCTAGAAAATTCATTTTATTACCATTGAAGAAGGGGAGTGCATACAGGTGGATCGACTCTTGCTAAATGAACTCACAAAGGACTGATGTATAAACCACAATGCCAACTTTCAGCTGCTAAGTATACCTAAATCATTGAATCAGTTACTCCTTGAAGGAAAATCTATATTATTAAAGGCTAAATTATAATTATAAGATTGGTGTGCAGGGCTTAGGAAATTAGATGACACATATTCCTTTTAGACATACGGGATTCCTCCAAGAAGCCTGGAATGCTAATTTGTTGCATTGACACGAGGCAATGGTAAGAGGTTTTACCATCCCTCCAAATAGCTATATTTGTTACATTCCCCTCATGCCCAGGCCCTGGCAATCACGTATCTACTGTAGCTATGGAATTGCCTCTTCTGGACACTTCACATATGGATTCATACAATATATGGCTTTTTGGGTCTGGCTTCTTTCACTTAGCATAGTGTTTTCAAGATTCATGTGTGTTGTAGAATATATCTGTATTTCATTCTTTTTTTATGACCAAATAATATTCCAGTGTGATTATACCACATTTTGTTTATTCATTTATCATTTGATAGACATTTGGGTTCTTTCTACTTTTTGGCTATTATAAATAATGCTGATACCAACATTCATGTACAAGTTTTCATGTGGTCCATGAGTGTTATGATTTCTCAGCATCCTCACCAATAGTTGTCAGTGTCTGTCTCTGTGATTATAGCCATCCTAGTCCATTTAACTAATTATTAATGATGCTGAGCATCATCATATGTGCTTTTTGTCCATTTGTGTGTTTCCTATGGAGAAATGTGTATTGAAAGCCTTTGCTCAATTTTTAATTGGGTTGTCTTTTTACGATTGAGTTGTAAGTGATCTTTATATATTTTGGATATAATTCCCTTATCAGATATATGATTTACAAATATTTTATTGACTCTGGAGTTTTTAATAGACATACTTTTTTAGAGTAGTTCTAGGTTCAAAGCAAAACCCTGGCAATTTCTCTGCCTGTTCACAGATGAGAGGTGCTACCAGTTTGTGCGCCATTTGCAGAAGACATCAGAATGATACTACAAGTGTTTTCTGGTGCAGGGAACATGCTATTCACAATCTTGGGATGGAAATGCAAGTGAATGTTTTGCAATGATCAGGTGTAATATAATACTTTATTGTCATAACAGCCATTAAATAAATGCTTGTGGTTGGATATGGACTGCATTCATTTGCCTTTTGAGCAACTTCGTATGATGGTAGAAAATGGTGCTCTCTCTCTCTCTTTCCCTCTCATTTTAAAATTTAATAAATTTCAATAAATATGTATAAATAATTATATTTCTGTACTTGATTACCACACTTATATTATGTTTTGGTCTCTTGTGCATCAAATTCTTCCACAAAGGATTGGGACGTGGGGAAGTTCAAGTAGAAATACCTAATCGTCAATCTTGTGTGGTTGCCTGCTTAAAATGGTAAGGGTGTCCTACAAATATTGACTGAGTTTCACATCAGCATGAAGGCTTTTATTTGTGATGATCACTTTATTTCACTTCATATGTTATTGTAATATGTTCTTGGTTCTAATGGATCTAGCCAATGAGTTGAATGGGAATGTTGCAGGTGATTCTCCTTCTCTCCAGGTTAATGTCCCATTTATGGTTTTGGATTCAGGCAGGAGCTCTCAAACACTGTCATGCTGACTCTTTGACATGAAATCTCGATGATTCAACACACTCCTTCTTCATTGTGTTTGTTTTAAATGTGGAATGGTCAAAATTACTACTATGTAAATAGGTCTACTAAAGGAAGGGACCAGAACGATTGTGACTTTCAGTGCCTGGATACTTTGCCCAGATTCAGCCACCCCTCCAGGAGAGTGAGGCTTAGCACTGTTGATAATAATTGCCTCAGAGGCTGTCAGGCGTGACCTGCTATTTTTGGTTAATGTGAAATACACATCGCTATAATCCAATGAAGAAATAACATGCAAATTTAAACCTTATATCCAAAGAACTGGAGAGTTTAGCCGGAAATCTGATAAAAGTAAATAGTCTTGTATCTCCTCAACAGAGAGATGGAGATCTTCCAACTTCAAAGAAGAAGCGCCAGGCTGGGGAGAAGATCATGTACACCTTGGTCTCAGTCCCACATGGGAATGACATTGCGTCCCTCTTTGAACTGGATGCCACCACTCTTCAGAGAGCTGACTGCCTGGTTCCTAGGTAAGAAAACAAATTATGGTTAAGTGATAATGCTTCTTTGAATAATTTCACTCATAGGTAAGACATTAAAAACCATAATGTTATATAATTTTTGTGATATAAAGGGAGAGAGCATAAGTGAAGAATAAAGTGTGTAACAAATCATGCCTCTTTTGTGAGTAGGTTCACATAGTTTCTTTGAATAATTTCACTCAAAATTATTCAAAAAAATTCTGAAAAATACATAGCATTCATTTATTATTGCTTTCATGGATTTTGGTTACTAAAATGGAAAATAATCTCAAAGCTTTCTATTAATATTGATATAATTTATTTTTATTGTATTAAATCCCAGATAGCTTTCATTCATTCAATCAGTCACTCAGTCAACAAGTCTTTATTGAACATTGATGAAATCCTAGGCATTGCACTTGGCATTGGGAAAACAACATGAACTTAAATTTAAATGAGGGAGAGAGGTGATATGCAAACATAAAATATAAGGTCAGGTAATGAAAATGCTTTGAAGAAAAATTGCAGAGTTTGGAGAGAGTTCTATTAGGTATTCAGAAATGGCCTTTGAGTTAGGACATTTGAGAAACTATCTGAATGATTTCAGGGTTCAGTTCTCTATATTAGGAGTGTTTTAAGCAGCAGGAATATGAAATGGGAAAATCCTGAAATTTACCATGTATCCTGAAGGACCAGCTGGGAGACAAGTTGGACCTAAGTGAGCAAAAGAAAAGGGAAGGAGGATTGGTAATGGTAGCTAGAACGTAATGTAAGAAAACATCTTACATTCTTTTGCTTGTATTTGATTACTTTAGTAAACCTCTTTTGCCTACATTCGTCTGCCTTCCATCAATAGTATAATGATGCACTCTCTTAGATAAGCGATTTTTAACCTTTTTCATCTCATGGCACACAAACTAGTTACTAAAATTCTGTCTCACACCAAAAAATACATCATATTTTTTTCCAGATCTGACGGAAAAATAGGCCTTAATTTGATTTCATTCACACCAGACAGCTATTGTTGTGTTGGCTGTTATTTTTCTGTTTGACAGACTAAGGGAAAAGAGGTCAGTTGTTCCATGTTTTAAAAATTCTTGCAGCACACCAGTTGAAAATCGCTGCCTTTGATGCACAGATGAGTCTTGCCCATATTATTATGTCTAGTGGATAGTTCTAAATTGTCCTTGATAGAGCATTATTGTACTTGGCCTTGGTCAAATGACAGTGGTGAGGCTTATGGTCCTTACACTAAATGCGGACATTATAGGTTGCTTTCCGGGAGTATAAAACGCTGCTTTCTAACACTGCTGAGGAACCCTGCTCCTTGAACTTCCCAGAGGCTTTTGTGGTTATTCTCATTCAGGAGAAATATTGCCCAGATCTTGTTTTCCTGTGAGGTGTACCTCACTCTTCCCTGTTCTGCCAGCCTATAAGATTCCCTCTGAAGCTGTTACCTGACCCAGGTCTCTGGCCTTCTCTTCTCAGTATTGGGATCTTAATCCTTATAAGACTTTCATCCTTTTAGATTTAAAAGCAAAATGGAGTCCTTCTTGAACTCTGACCAAGAAGTTTGCTTAGGGAAGTGATGAAAAGCTACTACTATAAAGTGCATACAAATCCCTGAGCCTTGCTTTATATAAGAGTTAATCTATTACTACTTAGAACCTTTGAAGCCTTTCTCAGTGTAGAACGGAATTTTGTATGAACAGATTCATTTGTCATTAATTATATTAAAGCGAATGTTAATGAGCACTTAATAATAACTACACTTATGCTAAAGCTCTTGAGCACTTTCTAAGTGCTAAGCCCTGCCAAGTCCTTATTTATTCCTGGCAGCACTCTTACAAATAAGGAACGAGAGACAGAGCAGGGCTTTTCAAGTGGACTGAATATTGTAATCACTGGGAAGCACTGGGATCTCTCTGCTCTGGCCAGTGCAACCAGAGGTTAGGCTGTGGGATGCAGGCTTTACTTTTTAAAATCATTACCCAGGTATTTGATCCAGAAATGTGGGAACTAAAAAAGTCTTTACTCTTAACCACGAGGCTACAATGTCTTCATGTTTCAGACATTCAGATTATATCAAGATCTTAATAGCAACATATTTGTGTGGCAAATGAATTATCCATTTTCATATTCTTGCAAAATATGAAATTATACTGAAGTGTAAAATATCTTTAGTTTGGAACCCAGCAATCTAGGTTGACTCAATAGCAAATATTGAACAAGTATGGGAGTAAGAGTAGGGGCAGCAGCCATAGGGCTGAATAAGAGGTGGCCCACACTTTCCAGATGCTTAAAGGACAGTTGGGAAGACAAGTGAATCTAAATAACATCTCCTGGGTAAATCAATGCAGAAGATGGTAAGACAGTTATTTTAAAACTTCTGATTGTTTGGACAATGGATGGATCTTTGCTATTTTAGATTTTTGAAAACCAGTCTTTATTTTATTTACTTTGATGAATGAGCAGAACCATGAAGTTGAATGAACCTCTTGCTTTTTCTGGTGCCCTTGGCATTTTATTTGACTTTCTTTTATTGCTTTCTGCCTCATGTTGTATGACTCATTTATGTCTATTTCCTACTAAATTCTCAGGAACTTGAAAGCAGAGGATTTATCATAATGGTATTCTTTTAATAGATACAACTCATATATGTTAATGAAATGATAAGAGAAGATTCACGACAATGATTATATTTGAGTTGAAAGAACTTCTGGCTTTCTCAGGCACTCTCACAGTTCTTATACAGTTGATCTTTATTATTCCCAGTACCATGAAGTAGCAATACTGAGCCATTGCTCCTAGAGGAAATACACAATTAGGTTCCTGTGAGCCTCTGGTCACAGTATTTTTGGCAGTCATTGAACATATAACCTTGTTTTGTGTGTATTTCTGTTTAAAGACACCTTATTTAATCTGTGCTGTTGATTTGGTAACATTGAACACTCAGCTGTTAGCTCTGTAACTCATGTCTGAATAAAGCTTATCTAACAGGAGTATTTTATCCTTAAGGCACAGCACAACCTTGCTCTTGGGTTTAGTAAACCGCACTGAGCTTGGGAACTGTTTAAAGCAAGTGTGGAATCCATGAATAATGAGATAAACAGTGTGTACTTTTACATGCAGGTGATTAAACTACAGAAAAGACTACTGTCATAGCCAGTTTGGCTCAGTGGATAGAGCATTGGCCTGCTGACTGAAGGGTCCTGGGTTTGATTCCAGTCAAAGGCACAGGCTTGATCCCGGCCCTGGTTGTGGAGGGTGCAGAAGGCAACCAATCTGATGTGTCTCACATCGATGTTTCTCTCTCTGTCTCTCCCTCTCCCTTTACTTTTTCCAAAAATCAATAGAAAAATATCCTCAAGTGAGGATTAACCTCTCCCCTCCCCCAAATAAAGGACTGCTGTCATTAGTTTTAACTGAGTTGGTTACTTGATCAATGCTTGTCGCGTTAGCATTTATCAGAATTTCATGGAGAGCCTGTGAAAATACTCATTGTTGGGTCTTACCCTCTGAGTTTCTGAATCAGTGGACCAGGATGAAGCCTCAGAATTTACGTTTTTAACAAGTTCTCAGGTGATTCTGACACTGCTGGCCAAGGGACCACACTTAGGTAATAATGCTGCATGCCTTGAAAGATTCTATAGTCCAGAAATGTTCCTTCAACCAGACTGATCGATACTTGAGTCAATTACTAGTCTAAAATACATCTACTCATATTGAATATGAAATTGTTAAATATATTAATATGTAAGTGGGCTAACTTGATAATATGTTTTATATTATTTTGCTTTTAGGAACTCCTACGTTCGGTTAAGACATTTATGTACCAACACATGGGTAACCAGCACTAGTATCCCTATAGACACAGAGGAAGAGAGGCCTGTTATGCTGAAGGTAAATCTTCCTGAAATGGTTTGATTTTCAACCACATGTGTGACTAGGATTAAGGGATGACTGACATATTTCTTTCAACCCATCCTCGCCAGTATTAGAGATTATGGGAATTCATTTAATCATGCTCTCGTGTCTGCCAGCTGCTTAGGTAGCTGAGCTAAAGGGCTGGGCTCTGGCTGGGCTGTGAGGCTAAGGAGGAGGCGGCATAGATACCAAGGTGTGGGGGCAGCCTGTAGTCAGGGGAGAAGATTTCAGGACTGTACTTTCTCTGTTGAAACGAAAGCAAAGAGCAAGTGTGATAGGGATACGTTTGGGGACAAGGCAGGATGTGGGCATGGACAATCTGTGTTCCTTTCGCCTTTCATAGAAGGTGTTGTGGGTGGGAATTATGTGTTTTCAGTATCTACTCCTGTTTTACATTTCTTAAACCGTTCAAAGTGTATTGGTATTTAAAGTATATTGCATGGTTATTTAAAAAGAAACAACTCATCTGAATGGACAAAACCCCACCACATTGCAGATTGGAACTTGCCAAACAAAAGAAGATAAAGAAGCATTCGCTATTGTGTCTGTCCCGCTGTCTGAGGTGCGAGACTTAGATTTTGCCAATGATGCAAATAAAGTGCTGGCGACCACGGTTAAAAAGCTGGAAAATGGCACAATAACTCAGAATGAAAGGAGGTTAGTAGCTTTTAAAAGTGACTCTTAAATCATCAGGACTCAATTGTTCACTCCTGCAGTAAATCTCAGGTGAATCTGTGGATAACCAGTACTAGAATTCCTATAGACACAGATGAAGAGAAGGCCTCTTTTGTTGAAGGTAAATGTTCCATTACCACAATGATATTCTTTTAATGGATACACTCATATATGTTATACTCTATGGGGAGCACTCTAAAGCAATCTTTAAAAACCACCGAATCTTTAAAGACTGCTTTAGAGTGCTCTCCATAGCAGCACACCTGATTCTGATGAGCAGGTCATGGTGAGTGATTGAATGGTGACATTCAAATCTGGTGGAATATTTATTTTTTCCACTTTAGTTTGGCTTGAAAACAGTTGTTTTTCATTACTTTCTGATCTTTCCTCTTGTTTTATTTTTAAATATAGTTTTTATTGATTTCAGAGAGGAAGGGAGAAGGAAAGAGAGATAGAAACATCAATGATGAGAGAGAATCATCGATTGGCTGTATCCTGCACACTCCAACCTGGGCATTTGCCTTGATTGGGAATCAAATCGCGACTTCCTGGTTCATAGGTCAATACTCAACCACTGAGCCACACTGGCGGGGCTGACCTTTCCTTTTCATGTTTCATAAGAGATTCACAGTATCTTTTGCTGCACTTGATCTGCGATTTTCGATTTCTAAAGGTTCTAAAAGAAGTTGTATTTTTGTTTTTGTTCTTACTTATTCAAGATACAGTTTTCTGCTCAGCTACCACAAAACCCCCCAAATATATTATACCAGAAAACAGTCTTCATGCTGTAGCGCTCTGTTCTTATAACTTCCTCAGAGAAACTGGATCCTTAATTCTTCAACTCTGGTTTTGGAAATAAGTGAGAAAGAGAATGATATTGATAGATGTTAAATTATTTTATCCATACCTCGTGTTGGTACTGTGTTAGGCACTATAGATATATTTTATCTAATTCTTCATACATTGGAACTCTCATACACAGCTAGTGAAATGATAGTTGGTATAAGCACTTTGGAACATAGTTTGATAGTGACTAGAAAAGTTAAAGAGGCAGCACTCCTTTTATAAGTGGAATCATGCGGTGTTTGTCCCTCTGCAATTGGCTTATTTTACATATAATGTCCTCCAGGTTCATCCCTGTTGTCACATGTGACAGGATTTTCTTATTTTTAAAGTAGAGTAATATTCCATTATATGTACACTGAGTGGCCAGATTATTATGATCTCTGAACACATAATAATCTGGCCACTCAGTGTATATTCTATTTAATAAAAGGCTAATATGCAAATTTTCCCCTCGACCAGAAGTTTGACCAGCAGGCAGGCCAGCCAACTGCCCATATCCCCTCCCCGTGGCTAGGCTGGCCGGACCCCACCCATGCACGATTTATGCACTGGGCCTCTAATATATATACTGATTGGCCACATTATTATGCGTTCAGAGATCATCATAATCTGGCCACTCAGTATATATATTGCATTTTCTTTATCCATTCATCCATCTATAAACATTGAAGTTGTTTCCCATATCTCAGCCATTGTAAGTCATGTTGCATAATAGTCTGACTCTTAGAAACGGAGAATAGAATGGTGGTTGCCAGTGGCTGGAGGTGGGGAGGGGAAATGAGGAGATGCCTTTTAATGGGTATAAAGTTTCATTTATACAAGGTGAATAAGTCCTAGAGATCTGCTTCACCACACTGTGCCTGCAGTTAACAGCACTGTCCTGTGCACTCAAAAATTTATTAAGTGGGTCCATCTCGCTAATTACCACATGCACATGCACAAAAAAAGAAGCGGACTCTCCATGACTCACCAGCTCCCCTACTAGGCTGAATGATTTTGAACATCTGTCTGAAAGATGCTCCTACACATGTGCACCAGCACGCATTGTGTAACGAAGTTCAGCCTTATTCTAAGTTACCGCAAACTAAAAACCACCCAGTGGTCCATCACCAGCTGAATAAGTGAATCTCGTCTTGGTAAATATCATACAGTGGAACACAGTATAGCAATGAAAACAAATGAACTGCATCTATGTATACTTAACAACATGGATAAACCTAATAAATCTTGGATTGAATGAGAACTAGACACAAACTCATTCACGCTAATAGTATTTGTGAGATTTCAAAGCAAGCAGAACTGAACTCTTATTTGGGGTGCTTAAGCAATTGGCAGAGCTATAAAGAAGTGCAAGGAGATAATTGTCACAGAAGTCAGGATGGTACTCACTTTAGAGGAGGCTCTTGCAATGTTCCATTTCCTGTTCTAGGTGGTGCCTTCATGGGACTCGAATTATAAGTATGCCATAATGAAACATGTATGTTTTATGAACTTCTGGAAATATATCTTACAACGCAAGATACATTTCCACCCCTGTTAATGGGAAAACACTCATAACTATGCAAACAAGTGGCATAGCTGTTTCTCAGCTTCCTCTGTTCATACCTGTTTTCCTAACAAAAATGCATTGATGACAACTAATTGTGCATTCAATTGTACCTCCACTCCTCTGGGGAGAATGAGTAAAGGTCAGAAGCTGAAACCACTGCTCCCTTTGCTATGGATGATTAAATACCAGAACCAAGTTATGACCAGTAAGGGAATCCATCCGATGTGCACATACTGATACCAGTTGTTATTTGCTTCTTACCTATTAACGCTTCCTTTTGATGAATCCATTTTGTAGTCTCTGTCACTCCACATATGCTCAGAAGTTTATTCAGTCTCACAAAGTCCCCCTGGCTAGGGATTACAGTGATTCTTGAAAAAAAACCCCAAAAAAACCAGACAAGGATTAGGATTATAAGCATTTACCACTATGGGCTGTAACCCTGTGCGAGGTACTCCTCTTACTGCTGGGGAGAATCTTAACCTCTCAAGGTTAATTCTGAGGAAGGTGGAAGGATCAGGATTAAGCAGGGATTATGCATTTTTATTCCCCCTGCTTCCTTCCCTACTGTTTTAGAGAGAAAAACATCCTAGCATAATGAAGGTCTTGCTTGAGAAATAGGAAGTTGCAATTATTGGTCTTAATTTAGTAATTTTAAGAAAAAGCCACCTTCCATCAAAATTCATTCAAAGCTGCCTGGCAGAGTTGAATACATTTATGTGACTTTTCTCGGTTTTAGAATTCAATATAAAATTCTTTCTGAAAATACCTCACGACTCTGACTTTTCCCCCTCTCTGGAGAATGAAGTTATTATTAGACACTCTTTTACTCCAGGAAGAATGATGCCAGGTCAAAAGGAAGGTGTTAGAATATTGCAGATTTCTTTCAAAATGCCTGTGTTGTTTGAATTCTCTCTTTCCTTCACCCTGGAATAGACTTTGGAGGTACAGTTCCCGGGTTGTGCTCCTCAACTTCAGATATTTTTCCATCACAATTTTTGATCTCATTCTGCAGAGCTGCAGCAAGAGGGAAAATGGAGGGCGGTTAACTATGTTTAGAGCTGGAAGAAGAGGCACATGCAATCGTAAACCGGAATTTCTGCACCACGATTCTACCTCTGGGGATGCAGAAAAAAATACTGGGTTTCTCTGCAGTGTTTATAGTTGAATATTTATTTGTTTCTCATCTTGCTAAACTGTCAGTGTGCGCCAGGCAAGGGGCCCTGAGGCTTGTATGCAGTGGTGACCAGCGCGCACTGTGGCCTTGTCTTCAAGCAGTTTCAGGGCTCACGGTTGGTTCTGGTGACAGAAGCCCAGCAACCAACAGCATGTGCGCCCAGATTAGCAGTCCTGACGGAGAGCTCATGTCTGCCTATAGAAACATCATGGGAGTCCCCTTAAGCTTTATTTGCCTGATGTTGCCATCTCTCCATGAGTTATCTTTTGCTTGGTATTTGAGTAGATGCTTCTTCTGCGGTACCCATTTATTCCAGATTTCCTGGCCATTTTGTTTTAGTCATGTCTCTCTGAGGAGCAGAGAGATAGGTTTTTAAAAAAATCTATTCTTATAGTCTTAATTTGCTCAACTTTGATACATGTGTTGGAATTACTTTGATATTGAGTGGTATTTTGTTTTGTTTGTTTTTTCATTTCTTTAGCTTTTTTTTTCTTTTCTCTCCATTTATTGCTGTCTGTTAGGTTGATGTTTATGTTTTTCTCTCCTTTTTTTCTTTTTCTCTACTGGTTTAGAAGCCATAGATAATATTTTTATTATTTAGAAATTGCCCTTATGTTCGTAGAACATAAAATTCAAACTGTGTGTGCAAACGTTTTTAACTATATATTCTTTCTTATAAAACTTGAAGATACAGGGTGGGGCAAAAGTAGGCTTACAGTTGTGAGTACATGGAACACAGAGTTTATTCTTATATTCTTATATATTAATTATTGCATTATTTTCTATATGAATAACTGTAAACCCGCTTCTGCTCCACCTGTATTAAATATTTCCTCATGTCAGGGGAGAAAAGTACCTCAGAAAGCTTTAATTATGCGCTGATGTTCTGCCTGCCACCTTTCTTGTAATAGTTGTCTAGAACCATTGTTCTGTGTTAATTTTCATTTTAAGTTTTTATTTCATTGGGTTTAATAATTACAAAGAAATAAGAATCAAATTATTATGGATCACCTTTTCTTAGTTTAGCATCTAAATTGTTGTTCAGTTATTTATTATATCTGCTAATATACTTAATGTCTTCCTCCGCTTGCCTTTATTTCTTGCATCTCACTTCTCTCTGGGTTTGCTTTTCTTCTTGCTGAAATTCATGCTTTATTCATTGAGGTTATAAATCTTTTAGTTTTTACATATATGAAAATATCTTTATTTTACCTCTACTCTTAAGTGATACTTTATGCATGGAATGTTGGATTGAAAGTTATTCTTCTTTAGTACTTTTTGTTGTTAATCCTCACCAGAGGATTTCCACCCCCCCCCCACCCCAATTGATTTTTAGAGAAAGTGAGAGGGAGGGAGAAGGGGGAGAGAAATAGAGAAAGAGAGAGAGAGAGAAACATTGATTTGAGAGAGGCACATTGATTGGTTGCCTACCACATGTACTTCACTGGGGCTGGGATTGAACCTGCAACCCAGGTCTGTGCCTTTGACTAGGAATCAAATCTTTGACTCTTTGATGTCTTGGGAGGTGAGGGAGGGGCATGTGTGCACATTGCTCTAATCACTAATAACACTGGTGAGGGCTTCGAAGTCTTTTAAAGTTATAATTTAATTATTTTCTGTTATCTCTCGTTCCAATTAAGAATTCTGCTATTAATGGGATTGTTATTCTTTATTGCATTTCCCCCTTTACTTTCTTGTAATTTTATAGATTATTTTCTTTGTTGTAAAACTTTTATTTTTATTTGTCCTATTTGATGCTAAGTGAATGCTTTTAATCTGAATATTATGTCTTCAGCAAGTCTGGAAAACTTCCAGCCATTTTCCTTCAAATATTGCTTCTATGTGTTTTTTTGTCATCTCTCTTTTGTAACTCCTATTAAATGCACGTTGGAGCCTCTTAATTCAACCTCCTGTCTCTTCCCTTTTTATAATTTAGCTTTTAAAAATGTTCAGTGCTGCTTTATGGATATCTTTTGATACTGTCTTAAAAATCACTAATTTTGCTTGTAATGTATCCAGAATAGTTTACCTTCATGAATTAAATTTTTATTTAAATGATTATGATTTTAGTTAATGGTTCCTTTGCTATATCTGTCTATTCATTGCTCATATCTTACTTTCTATGTTAAAAGATAATTGCTTTCTTTATCTCTTTGAGGATTAAAAACACTTTTAAAAATTTATTTTAAAATTGTTTTTTCTTTCTTGCTTGCTTTTTGTTGGCCTTCTGATATTTTTAGTATGATTGCTTAGTCTGTTTCTATTCAAAGATCATTTTGTTTTTCCTATTCTATATATTGGAGAAATTGAATGTGGTGAAGATTGCAAGATTTAGTTTGAGTCAAGAGTAAAAATAGTAATTCAAATTTAAGAATTTGGAAGAATAGCTATTTTTCCTAAAGCAGAACTATTGTGTATTGCTGTTCACTCATGGAAAAGCATCAGTGTTATTCTCCTATTGACTGATTGTCAATGGGGCTCACATAGCTTTATTTCTTAATGGTCATTACATCATTACAAATATTTGATTGGAGCTGGATGTGGGAGTGGGGACTGGAGGAATTGGAGAAGGGATGTTCTTGTAAAGATTTTGGTCACATTAACTGCATTAAATATTTTGTTGATTAAATAATTTTTCATTATAAAATACTTGGTTTTGCAGTGTTTCAGTTCCTAGTGTTCATTAACTTCCTCTCCCAAATGAACACTGTATAGTAAAACTTCCTTTTCATTTTCCTATAGGTTTGTAACCAAATTATTGGAAGACCTTATCTTCTTTGTTGCTGATGTACTTAACAATGGGCAAGAAGTTCTGGATGTGGTTATCACCAAGCCAAACCGAGAACGTCAAAAATTAATGAGGGAACAAAACATATTGGCACAGGTGAATGTTTTCATGTGCTAAATTTACATATTTTGCTCTTTGAATTATACAATCAGGAAAGTCCTTGGGTTAGTTATTTATTGCTGTGTAACAAGTCACCCAAAGTCTTGGTGGCTGAAAACATCAGATACGTACAGTTCCTGTGGATTGGGCATCTAGCAGTGGCTTGGCGGGGGCAGTTCTCACTCGGGATCTTTATAGCAGGCTGCAGTCATCTCGAGGCTCAAATGGGAGAGGAGTCACTTCCCAGCTCACTTATATGGGCCTCTCCACAGGGCTGCTTTGAAATAAGGCAGGCAGAGAAAGACACAGGATCTCACTCATATGTGGAATCTAAAGGGCAAAATAAACTGATGAACAAAATAGATCCAGAGACACAGAGACATGGCACAGGCTGTTGAATCTCAGATAGAAGTTGGGGTGGGTGGGTGGAGATCAACCAAAGAACGTGTATGCACATATGCATAACCCATGGACACAGACAGTGTGGTGAAGGCCTGGGGCAGGCTGTAAGGGGTCAATGGGAAAGAAAGGGGAAATCTGTAATACTTTCAACAATAAAGATTTAAAAAAAAGTGGGCAGCTTGCCTTTGTTAGAGTAGTCAAAGAAAGATCAAGAGAGGGCATTCAGATGGAAGCCACAGTCTTTTTATAATGTAACTAGAGGCCCAGTGCACGAAATTCGTACACAGGGGTGTATTTGTGTCCCTTAGCCCAGCCTGCACTCTCTCCAATCTGGGACCCCTTGAGAGATGTCCAGCTGCCCGTTTAGGCCCAAATGGGCAGTCGGACATCCCTCTTACAATCTAGGACTGCTGGTTCCCAACTACTCACCTGCCTAACAATTCCTGATCACCCCCTAACCATTCCCCTGCCAGCCTGATTGACACCTAATTGCTCCCCTGCCAGCCTGATTGCCCCTATCTGCCCTCCCCTGCTAGCCTGGTCACCCCTAACTGTCCTCCCCTGCAGACCTGGTCACCCCCAACTGCCCTCCCCTGCTGGCCTGATTGCCCACAACTGCCCTCCCCTGCTGGCCATCTTGTGTGTTGGAGTGATGGTCAATTTGCATATTACTCTTTTATTAGATAAGATCCTTGAAGTAACATCCCATCAGTGCATTGTCAAGGAGACAGGATCCCACAAGGGTATGCATTCCAGGGATTAGCAATCACTGGGGGCTGTCTTGGAGGCAGCCTACCACAGCTTTCAAAAAGCTTTACATGGTTAGACTATCTCCAGAAAATGTGCTGGGATAACTTTCTAGGTAGAATTTCCAGGAGAACTTGGAAGCTTCCTACTTCTTTCTGTCTCTTCCATAGGAAAATAGGGTAACCTGTTCATCCGCTCACAAGTGCCTTATATAATATTCTAGATTTTACCCTGGAAGTTCTTTCTGAAATGGTTTAAAATATAGCAATACATTAATTTACTTCCTAATAATATGCACATATGAACATGCCTGCTTTTATGCATTCTTTTTGTTCTGTTAATTGCTATATAAAATAATGGCCTCTGCATTCTTAAACTGTGGACTCAAGGAAGATACTTAAATAAAAATCACATTAATATACATGTGCTCTTTGTAAAGTTGGGAAAGGAAAACAGGAGACATTGTCAATTAATATTCTGTAGCTGATTGTCTAAAAATTAACATTTTTCCTCAAAGATAAGTTGCAAATCTAATGAGACAAAATCTTTTCTGACAATAGCTTTTGGGGTGTGTGTATAAAAATGTTTATCTCAAGGACTTTTAGGACCTTGAATAATTTATTAATATTTTAAGCAACATGTCAAAACTTTATTTCAGTATTATAAGTATAAAATTCAAGGTGTAGTGAATATAGAATTATTGAAGAAACATTAATTCATATTATATTTCATGAACTAATGGGTAATTTCTGTTCATTTTGCTTTCTTGTATTAATGCTCATGCCCTTGCCTAGGTGCTTTAAAAAATTTTTGTATTGCTATTTATAAACATGAAGGGAGAGAGGGAGAGAGAGAGAAAGAGAGCGAGCGAGCGAGAGAAACATTGATGTGAGCAAGAAACATTAATTGATTGCTTCCCACATATGCCCTGAGTATCAAAACTGCAATGTGGGTGTTTGTTCTACTGGGAATTGAACCTACCACCCTCTGGTGTATAGGATGGTGCTCCAACCAACTGAGCCATTACTGGCTAGGGCCCTAGGTGCTCTTTTATAAACTATTTACTCATCTGCCAGCTCATCACTAAGTGATCCTATGTCCTGTCTTTCCACCTAAAAGAGTTAAATTCCTCAATGTTTTTAAAATACTTCCCAATTAGTAACTTTAAAAGAAGAATCTGGGTCACTGGGTATCACCAGCTGTCCATGTGGGTCCCTATTTGCTGATAGTTTCATTGGTTTGGCCACATCTTTATGTACCAAGAACAATGAATTGTTTTATAAAGAAGTTTAGAAGCAATATTTGGAGGCAATTTTCTGATGTCAGCTTCAAGTGAAAATACATGTTTTTTTAAAAATATTATTTTGATTTTAGAAAGCTATAGAATAGATGTAATAATAAAGCTGATAGAAATCAAACTATATTTTAGTCCATCTGAAAATGTTGATGTAACTTGGTACAACCCAACACCTTTATATTTCTTATTTTAATAAAATATAATATATCTAATCAAAATTAAGTGTTTTATTTAAATAATGTTTTTGTCCTTCAGTTTAGGGAATTCTTTTATCAGTATTTTTCTGTTTCTTAATATATTATTGATTCTGTATCCTAAATCTTTTTTTTTTAATTAATATTTCAAAAGTGTTTTTGAATCATTGTGCTTATTTAAAAAAAAATTAAAACACATTGCAAAACATCTATCTTCATTCATCAGAATAGGTGGCCTTCTTTTTGCTTTGTTTTCTGGCAGGTATTTGGGATTCTTAAAGCACCCTTTAAGGAGAAGGCAGGCGAAGGCCCAATGCTGAGGCTCGAAGACCTGGGGGACCAAAGATACGCTCCCTACAAGTACATGCTGAGGCTCTGCTACCGTGTTCTGAGGCACTCGCAGCAGGACTACCGGAAAAACCAGGTCAGAGGGCGCGGGTCACGACCGCCGTCTCGTATTTACAGTGACTGTCCCAGAACATATAAAACAGGAACGGAAAACGGCACTTTGCAATGGAATGTGTCATATTGGGAACACATTAAAGTGACCTGTGTGTATTTTTGAGCTGAAATATGCATTTATTCTTCCGTGTAAAATTAGAATCGTTGAGGGAGGATGCCTGAGTCCTTCTGTGCGCATGGTATTACTCCTGCCGGGCCGAGGGCATGCAGGATGTCTATGTAAAGAGGACTGAGACAATTCTCAGCTTTTTTAGGAACATGTGAGGTATCACATCATTATGTAAAGGTCAAAGAGGTCATTGTCTTGTGGGAAAGATATGGCTTGTGCATCTGAAATATGGGGGAGAGGCAGAGAGGAAATGTGAGAGATAATGTATTGCTGGAATTCAGAAGAGGGAGAGGAGCTCCGTTGTGGCTGAGGGAATCCAGGAAGGCTGCTTAGAGAAGGAAGCATAGCAGTAGGATGGTAATCATTTTCATAAATTGTAAGGGAACAGGCCTTTTAAAAAAGACGGATCTATGAAAAGAGAATGATGGATGCTGGAAAGGGCACTTTTGCCCAGAGACATTCCCAAGTGCAGAGACAGAAAAGCCAGGCATATCTAGGGACATAGATAAAAGACGTCAACTGCAAGTGACATTTCTTTTGTCTAATTTTTTACCTTAAAATTATGTAATATTTTGCAATGTGTTCAATAATATACATGCTTCTTTGTTTAAAATTATTAGGTAGACTAGTGTCCCATTTTTTCTCTTAGCCAGTTTGAGAGTTGAATGTATAATTAGGAAATCTACTGGTGAGTTTAGTCCGTGAGGAGGAATGGTGTGAGAGAGGGTTGGTAAGGCAGGTTTGGCTAAGTCACATGTAGGGCCTAGGATTTCAGGCCTAGAAGTTGGAGGTAATTTGGGAATTAGAGGCCTGGTGCATGAAATGGTGCATGGTGGGGTCCCTAAACCTGGCTAGAGATCAGGGCCAATTGGGGCCATATTGCCCAGTCCCTATTGGAGCCAGGCTAATTGGGGCTGATGGCCAGGGGATGGGCAGGGAGAGGGACCATGGGAAATTGGCCAGTTGGTTGGGGGGAGGGACTGTAGGAGATTGGCCGACTACAGAAAGGGGCGGGGAGAGGTTGATTAACTTAAGAAGGTTGGCTGTGGGAGCACACTGACCACCAGGAGGTAGCTCTTTCATTGGGCATTTGCCCCCTGGTGGTCAGTGTGTATCATAGCCACTGGTCGACCAGTCATTCCAGTCATTCAGTCATAATGGTCACTTAGGCTTAGATAGATAGATAGATAGATAGATAGATAGATAGATAGATAATGGTATTTATTGAGTGCTTACTTTGTACCAGGCTCAACTCTGAGCACTTTTTACAACTTAACTCAATTACTACTGAGTTAAGATGAAGAACCAAAGCACAAAGTGTTTAAATAACTTGCCAAAGATTATACTGTTTTAAGACTGAAGACAGTATTCAAACCCAGGCTCTTACTCATCACACTATTTCCTTTTAGTAATTTGAATGGTTTTTGGCAAGAAAAAAAATTTTGCTCTAGGAAAAATGTGTTAAAATATATTGGTTTTGAAATTCTGTTTAAAGATTAAGGAAAGGCCTAAAAAGAATATGTAAAACAGATTAGTCAGAAGATAAATAATAAGACAAGGGGCAAGAGCGAGGAAGGAAGCTATATAAACAAATCCTTAAATATTTTTTAATATAATCCTACTTATAAACATCCTTCTTCCCAAGTGAAGATGCTGTCATTGGAATTATTTGTCCCAGCTTCACTGTATTCATTTGACATACCAAGATAAAGGGCTGTCTTTATTTTATTAAGAAAAAAATTAAGTTCCAGAACATTAAACCCGCTTTTTGTTTTTTTTTTTTTAGAGTATATGACTGTGGATGAACCACCTTTTATCTTTTTTGGGATGATCATTGAGCTGACAAAAGGAAACAATTCCCATCATTCCCTAGAGTTAGATTTTACTTTCCCTCACGTTCCTTGCACATTCCAGTTCAATACTTTTCTCATTTCTATTGAACTAAGAATGCTTTGTATTAATCATAGAACAGTTTTCTAATATTATTAGAACATGATTTTAAAATGTAAGCTACTTACGTTCTACTTTTTGCATAATTACTGTGTTTCCCTTTACCTGTAGCTATGTTTTATAGGGTAGCTACAGATAAATAGTTCTTTTGTGATTTAGCACTAACCCATATCGAGTTTCTGTTTATTATTATTTATAGGATTTGGCAACATCTCTAATTTATTTTGATTTTTGTCAACATCTTGACCTATTTATCAAACATCTTGGAGGTTTGCATTATACTATAGTATAATTACAATAGTCATAAAAGTGTGTAAATCAATATATGTCTTTAAAATGATGTATTAACAGAAGACAGTTCCTTTATTTAATTGGCTATCCAACATAAAGCCATTATTTTGAAAGGGCACAAAATTGCTGCCTGAAATACAGTATAATTAAATTAGATTTGTGCAACCAATATAATTTTCAAGGAATAGATAGGTTCCAGAAAAAAAAAAGGAAAAAAAAGTAAAAGCAGAAAAAAAAGCAGAAAAAAAAGCAAGACTAATTTCTAATGAATGAATTCTCCCAAATAGATACAGAGATACATTTCCAACGAGAGTAGCCAGGAAACTGAAGTGAAAATGTTTTGATTGTGGGAGGGGGTAGGCTTACCAGTCTTGCTTGTACACAGACAGTGGGAAATGATAGTGGCTTGGATATAGGAGAGTTAGTGTGAAGAATAAGGAGCACATCATATAATGCATGATTGACACTCCTCAATGACTTTCTCTTGCCCATAGCATAACATCTTTGTCCTTTACTACAGCCAGAGAAGACCTACCTCTCCAACCTCAGCTCTTGCTTTCTCAACTCTAGCTCCAATGGCCACCCTTTGTTTATAGGTCACAAAAAGCTTGGTTTCACTACCACAGAGCCTTTTTCATCTGCTACTCCCACAGCCTAGATGGCTTCTCTCCCCATGTTGCCTCCTTTTTATCATTTCAGTGTTTTCATAATTTCCATTCTAGCACAAATGTCACTTCCTTAGCATCTACTCTATCTGAAGTTGCCACCTTTCTCCCTCATTTTATTTGTTTCACTTCACTTATCAACATGTAAAATTATCTTATTTATGAGCTCATTTACCTGCCTTTTTTCACACTAGATGAGAGCTCTATGAAAGCTTATCTTATTTACTGCCATATGCTGAGTGCCTGGAATGAAGTAGGCTTTTAAGAAACATTATTGGGTGAATGGATCTGATCAATTAAGTGATTAATCATCTTTTCTTATTTGATAGCTTTTTAAAGGTGAAATGTGGTAGGAAATTTTATCATTATTTTAAAGAGAAGATTTAATAGATCATTGTGGCATATGGTACAAAAAGAAAAATCACTTAGATCTACCTGCATAATTCTCTGTGTAACAGTATAGATCACAGAGTTATTTTCTTTCCATAATTATATTGAAATCATTGGTTTTGACTTTTAATGAAGGCTAGAAGAAGGGCCTCTATTAGGGTGGTGAAATCTTTAGTTGTCATGTCATAAGAATTGTTATTTTAACTAGGTTTATTTATTTTCTCACTTATACTTCAAAAGTAGAAGCACCCATATTCAAAAATATCGATACTTCTAGGTATATAGTTTTTTTGTTGTTAAAATTTAAATTTGGCATATGTTAATATTTTCATTTCCTTCCTTAAAAAGTCCTATTTGTTGAAGAATTGTTTACTTGGTCTTCTTTGGACAATAATTTTTAGTGAGTTTTCTGTTATGAATAATTGAATTAGTGTTGCTGACCGTAATGGAACTTGTCATTTCTAAGCTGTTTTGGCAGTGTATTCTGACAGCCTTTCTTTTTGCAGGAATATATTGCTAAGAATTTCTGTGTCATGCAGTCCCAGATTGGCTATGATATTTTGGCAGAAGATACCATCACAGCTTTGTTGCACAACAACAGAAAACTACTAGAGAAACATATCACAGCAAAAGAAATAGAAACATTTGTCAGTTTACTCAGGAGAAATCGTGAGCCAAGGTTTGAAGTGGTTCATGCATCATTCTTTTCTAGGGGGGATGGTGGCTTTTTTGCTGTATTCTTACAACTTTTTAAAGTTGAAATTCTTTTATATACTTTTTAAGGACAAAACTAGATGAGGCTTATTGCTATAATAATTTATGATAATAATTTATAATAATTTATGCTATAATAATGTATGATAAAGAGTTATTGCCTTATAGCAGATCTAAACCTTTTCTAGGTATATTTAAATGTAAAAACATACAGTTTTATAGTACTTTATAGTATACTAGAGTCCTGGTGCATGACATTCATGCACTCAGGGGAGGGGGCTGTCCCTCAGCCTGGCCTGCGCCCTCTCGCAGCCTGGGACCCCTCAGGGATGTCAGCCTGCCGGCTTAGGCCCAGACATCCCCTGAGGGGTCCTTAGTGCTGCCACAGAGACAGAAGAGGCTCTGGCCACTGTTGCTTCGCTTGCCAGCAGTGAGCCCAGTTTCTGGCTGAGCAGCACTCCCCTGTGGGAATGCACTGACCACCAGGGGGCAGCTCCCGTGTTGAACATCTGACCCCTGGTGGTTGTCAGTGTGCATCATAGCGAAGGGTCATTCCATTGTTTTGTTGATTTGCATATTAGGGTTTTATTATATAGGATTCATATATATATATATATATATATATATATATATATATATATATATAGTGTTATATAAATTCTTGCATGTTCTCATGAAATACACTGGTTTGTATATTATTACCCACATTTTAGAGATGAAGAAAAAGAATACCAGGGTATAGTTTATTCAAGAATAGCCCAATAAGAAGGAATAGAATAGGTGGTATATCAAGAGTCTCTGATTCCACATCAAGTTTTCTTTTTATTGCATCATGATAACTTATCTGGGAGAAATGAATGCTGAAAAGCCAAGGCAATTGATAAACTTTTCTTAACTAATAATAATTAGCACAGCCAATAAATGTTAGCAGGTGGAAATGGGCCTCTGATTGCACTTTGATTAAGTGTGTGCTATATTCCTATTTTACTCAGGACATCGTTAGCTTTGATCTGCTTTTGTTTTGATATTCAACTTTGGGGTTATTTCACTTTAGGGCAGATAAATGGTTTCCTAAACATTGTAAATCAATGTGCTATGGGGTGAATGTCACCAAATAAATAGAAGTGAACTTATATCCTTTTCAGAAATATTTGTATTAAATATAAATAATTTGATGTTTAACATGTTTCTAATGATGTAGTAGATGAGAAACACATTGTAAAAATGTGCATGGAAATCATATTTAAAAATATATCTTAAAAGTCATGTTTGTTATATCCCCAAATTTGTTTTTGTTAAGATTTTATAAAATGCCTTTTTTTAATGTTCAATTTAATTTTTTTTTTGCCAGATTTTTGGATTATTTATCTGATCTGTGTGTGTCCAATACCACCGCTATACCTGTAACTCAAGAACTCATCTGCAAATTTATGTTGAGCCCAGGCAATGCAGACATTCTCATTCAAACCAAGTAAGCCCAGATGATAGAGTCTTCTTTTCCTGTTCATTGTTTATAATCATTGTACTTCTTTGTCATATTTCTTAGTGAAATTCTTACTAGATATTGTTGTTAATTCAAGGCTGGTTTCAATGCAAATGGACAACCCGCTGGAGAGCTCCATTCTTTCAGACGACATTGACGATGAAGAAGTTTGGCTCTACTGGATTGACAGCAACAAGGAACCTCATGGCAAAGCTATCAGGCACCTTGCTCAGGAAGCCAAAGAGGGCACCAAAGCTGACTTAGAAGTCCTTACCTATTACCGGTAAAGTATTGGAGAGAATCAGAGTTCTCAATCTCACATACTCATTGAAAGAGATTCTCCAAGACTTCTAAAAGTCAGCTATCTAGGAAGAGGCAATTTAAAAAGTCGTCATTACTAGGGTAGCTAAAATATACAGTATTATTTAAAATATTAGAAATAAAAGTTAATATCTGTGTACTCCATATATACCTCTTGCAATTTCCTGATTTCCCACTAATTTAGAATTGTTGGGATTGCTGTGTAGCAAATGTTTTTTTCTATTACTGATTAGAGTGGGTGCATCTGAGAGACATATTAGGAGCTAAGAAATGGAATTGAGAGAGAGCTGGAACTTGGACCAGGGAAGCTGACTCAGCTACAGATGTGGCCTCAGAGGGAGGTAGCCAGTAGTTTAAGGTATATAGTGCTTATATATATAATAGTAGAGACCTAAGGCTTAAGAGACAGTAGTGTCTACAGTTACACAAATTCATTGGTGGTATATGGCAGCCAAAGTTCTGATGGTAGTTTCTGGTGGTGGGTATATTGCGAGCAAGAACCTGCCTGGTGTCTTTGAACTTATGGGATGAAAACCAAGGCAGAAGCTCTCGGGTTGAGTTGGGCCCAAATGACAGGAATCTAAGAAAGGCAGGGAGTGCCTCCTGTTCCCTGGTTTCTACAGTTCAAGCCACAAAGCTGGAGGCTAATCCTTGATCTCAGAGGCTGATGAACCCAAGTGTCTTGAGACCATTTGTGTGGATCACATTTGATTTAGGAACTGAGTGGATCTAAGCTTAGAGTGTAGATACTAGAGTCCAGGGCTGAATTTCATGTGAGCTGTAATCACAGTCATCAGGGTGTATCTGTGATCCTAGGAAACTTAGAACAGAGACTCCAGTGACTGTCTCCACCAGATGCATGTTGCTGGAACAAGTAAGGGAAATGGCAACTGAACGGGCATCCAGACAATTTCATGTATATGTTGTTAATGGATTATTTAACCTACTACCAACTAAGTTTGACTCCAGTACCACATACTATTAGAAATATTGGTGTCATAAAAGTAGATACTGACTGATCCTGTGATGTTAAGAACTTTATCAAGACAAATGATATAATGTGTTTAACATTTTTAAGGTACCAGCTAAACCTCTTTGCAAGGATGTGCTTGGATCGCCAGTATCTGGCCATTAACCAGATTTCGACGCAGCTCTCTGTGGATTTGATCCTGCGGTGCATGTCAGATGAGAGCCTGCCATTTGACCTCCGAGCATCTTTCTGTCGCCTCATGCTCCACATGCATGTCGACCGGGACCCCCAGGAGTCCGTGGTGCCTGTGCGCTATGCCAGGCTCTGGACGGAAATCCCCACCAAGATCACCATTCATGAGTATGTTTGGGAAAATGTCTCAAAGACTTTACATTCAGTAGATGAAATAAAAATAAAATGACATCAATTTGGAAATAAAATGCAGAGAAAGGCATTTCTGTGTTCAGATTATCTTCCAAACGCAAACGAGATACTCTTTTTTTAGAGAATAAAGTGACAACCCTTGATAATAGAAACATCATTCTGGAAATATAAACAGAAATCATATTGCCAATAGCTTAGCAAGTTGTTGAGTACTTAATGTAATGCATGCTCTGAGTTAGATGCTTTACATGTGTTACCTCGTTTTACAATAGTCCCATTGTACAGCTTAGGACACAACATCTAGAAAGGGTGATTATTAAAATACAAGCTTAAAAGCCATAAAGTTAAAGTATGTATATCTTCTTATCTTAATGATTGCAATAAAGTTAACTTGCTTTATATTCTATCTTTGCAGATATGATTCTATAACTGACTGTTCCAGAAACGATATGAAGAGGAAATTTGCACTGACAATGGAATTTGTTGAAGAATACTTGAAAGAAGTTGTAAATCAGCCCTTCCCTTTTGGAGATAAAGAAAAAAACAAACTGACATTTGAGGTATTATGAGAAACCATGAAGTTATTCAGTTTTTCCTGTAAAAAATTAGATACATTGAGCATAAAGATTTTCCCCCCATTTAGGATGCTTTGGTAATCAGGCAGATTATTTTATGAAGTTATGATTCTCTCTGCCATTCATTAAAAATACATTTGATGCATTAATTATACCTGATGTCCAATACAAAATATTTTACTTATGATTAGTTACTGTTTTCCTTGTTTTTTGTTTTTTTGCTTTTTTTTGTTTCATTCCATTAATGAAACAAGGCAGTTTTGCATATTTGTGATATGTTTGGATACATTTTTTCCTTATCCACAGAGGCAGTGTGTTTAGCATCATTAAACTGAATTGAAATACCTCTAGTTATAATATTATCTAGGGGATATAGTGACAAAACTATAGAGAAGATGCTGTTACTTGTTACCTGGTATATTTGCTACCTACAGTTGTATAAAAAATTACTCCCTAGTCTTAGCAGCTCAAAGTAACAAACATTTATAATGACAACATTTAGTTTCAATGGATGAGGAATCTGGGAGTGCTTAGCTGTGGGGTTCTGGCGCAAGGTCTGTCATAAGATTGATTGGGGTGGCAGTCACCGGGGCTTCTAAGCTCACCCTTGTGATTGTTGGTAGCCAGACTTTCTTTTTCTTTTTTAATATATTTTATTGATTTTTTACAGAGAGGAAGGGAGAGAGATAGAGAGCTAGAAACGTCGATGAGTGAGAAACATCGACCAGCTGCCTCTTGCACACCCCCTACTGGGGATGTGCCCACAACCAATGCACATGCCCTTGACCGGAATCGAACCTGGGACCTTTCAGTCCGCAGACCGACGCTCTACCACTGAGCCAAACCGGCTTCGGCCAGACTTTCTTATTGGATGTTGACTAGGTAGCCTTTTCACAGGCTGCTTATGTCCTTATGGCATGGTGTCTGGCTTTCTCTGAGAGAGAGAGAGAGAGAGAGAGAGAGAGAGAGAGAGAGAGAGAGAGAGAGAGAGAGAGAGAGAGAGAGAAGAGAGAAGAGAGAAGAGAGAAGAGAGAAGAGAGACTATGCAAGTGAGCGCCCAACATGGAAGTTGCAATCATCTATGACCTAATATTGGAAATGCATGCCACCACTTCTCCTGCATTTGTTTGTCACACAGATTAACCCTGACACAATATGAAAAGGGAATGCATTGGGGACCGTCTTGGAAGCTGGCTTTCATACCTAGTGTGTCATATAGTATCCAGAAGGCCACAAAGCAGCATAGGGAACCTATAATTCTGGACAAATTCATAGATAATAGCCATTTATTAAAGTGATTCATTAATGTAACCATTTAGTAAGTGGTAGCCTACTGACTTAAATAATTTAATATTTAAGAGGTAAATAATCCTAATGTAACCTTCTTTAACCATCTTTAAATATCTAAAATCTTGTCTTCTTGCTTCCTTGGTGGGAGTTTTTTTTTTTTTTTTTTTTTTTTAAGATTTATATTGATTTCAGAGAGGAAGGGAGAGGGAGAGAGATAGAAACATTAATGATGAGAGACGGTGGGGCTTTGATGAGATTGATGAACTTGTCTTATTTGGAAATAATTCTAAACTTAAATAAAGAATTAATGGTTGCTTTTGTAATTATTTAAATTCTTAGTTGTTAGAGAATTAGAAAGTTTAGAAATAACTGTTCTAATTTAGATAATAAAACATCAATGTTAATTTTAGTTCCTAATGTTTTCTTTTCTTTCTTTTCCTTTTGTTTTCTTTTTTTTTGTACTCTACCTTTCTCTCTCTCTCTCTCTCTCTCTCTCTCTCTCTCTCTCTCTCTCTCTCTCTCTTTTTTAATTAAGGTGGTCCACTTGGCTCGGAATCTGATATACTTTGGATTTTATAGTTTCAGTGAATTGTTAAGGCTCACAAGAACACTTCTGGCTATCCTAGACATTGTACAAGTCCCCATGTCATCGTATTTTGAAAGATTAAGCAAATTTCAAGATGGAGGTAAGAATTTTTGAGAAAAAGTTATATTCTTTTGGTCTTGTTGGAGACATAGAACAAATATGCAGAGAAGTGGTGGTTAATGTGTACTTACTAAGATATGTGAATAGATGAAAAGTAATCCCATGGTTGGACAGTGATACTAGGCTGGATTTACAAACATATTGTAATGATAACATTTTGAGAGACAAATTTATAAGGTCAGTGAGTTCCATCTTTAGCAATTAACATATGGCCAATCCACTAGGGACAATGTTACTTGTTTAAAGATAAAAAAAATCTTAATATTTATGATCATTCTGGTATGTGGCATAGGCTGGCTGTGCTGTATAGAAGGCCATAGAAAAATGCCAAGAACAGGCCCACTGAGCATCATACCAGAGAAACAGTGAATGCAAAACCAGTGTGAGAGGCAGTGAAGTGGATGAGAATGGGCTTTGAGTCAGAGTTCCTGGCATCAATGCCAGCCTTTACCATTTATTAACTTAGGCAATGCACTCATCTTTTCCAAGAGTTCCTTTTGTCATTTGATATATAAAGACAATAATATTAGTATCTTCCTCACACTTTCTTTGTGAGAATAATGTGAATGTATATTAATACAATATATTCAGAGCATTTAGAACAGTGCCAGCCATAACTCAATAATTTGTTTTTCATGGTGATTGTCTTTATGTTGGATGCCTAGAAATCCCCTGAGGTGTAGAGAATGGTTGCAGAAGGTAAACTGAAGAGTGCATTCAGGATACACACCACTAAGGAAGTGAGGAAGTTGGGATTGGGCAGACAGAGAAGCTGATCCACAATGCAGGTGCAACTGAGACCTCAGCAGATCCTACAGGGAACTCTCCAGCTAAGATGGCCCTTTGGAGTAGTCACAAGTAACATAGGGAGCTGAGCTTTGGATCATTGCATCAGCCAGCTACTGACTGCTGGCTTGGCATGGAGGGGGTGTGTAGCCATGGGTTATGCAGTTCTTTTTGGGGAAGGGTCACTCTAAATGACAGCTATGAGTAGTCAGCACCCATGATTCCAAGAAGCTAGGGGAAAGGATGCCTCGGTCTGAAGAGGAGATATAGGTGCAAACAATATATCCATCACAATATGCATTGCAAGGTTAAAAAATACTAGAAAACCAGAAATCTAATTTCAGACATAAGGAAGAAGTATCTAGTTAGGAATTGTAAATAAAGAACACCCAAGTTTTGATTAGCAGAGGGTGAATGTGGTATACTTAGTTATATGAGAAAGACTAGTGGATGAGTGGGGTTGGAGGGGAAATCGGGATTTCTTTTTGGGCATTTTAGGTTCAAAATGCCTATTGGCATTTAAGTGAAGGTGCTACGTTGACAGTTGGATATATGAATGAAATTTAGGGTAATGTCAGGCTAGAAAATATAAATGTGAGAATCAATGCATAGAAGACATTTAAGAGAGCAGACTGAAGAAGGCCATGTAGGGAGGGATTTCTGTTTGGGAAGAAATGTGGACTAAGGATTGCATCCTGGGATGTTCCAACACTCACCCATGAGATAGAGCAGGAGCCAGCCAGAGACTGGGACAGAGTGGCTGATGGATCAGGAGGAACATCAGGAGAATGTGTTGTGTTGGAAGCCAAAGGAAAAGTAACGCTAGATAATTAAAATAGTTTGTTGACTTATAGAAATATACTTTCTTGATAGCTAGTAATCATTGGGTACTCTGTGTGCTAAGTGATTGTACATGGATTATCTCCTATGTAGTGTTACTTGTACTTAACTATGATACACAGTTTTTTACTTCATTATTAAAGATCTGAAGGAGCTATTAAGTGCAAGAATATATATATATATATATATTAGTAAATACCTAAGCAACCATCCAACCAGTAGCTATGACACACAATAACCACCGGGGGCAGATGCTCAACACAGGAACTGTTGAGCTGCGGTGACTTGGCAGCTGCGATTCTCAGCTGATGCACCTGGAACCAGAGAGGAGGGAGCCAATTACAGGGTGCATCACCCAAGAACCACCCTCTAGCAACTCAGGACCCCTCAGGGGGTGTCTTGGAGCTGGATTCCCACAGACCAGATTGAGAGACCACACCAGTGCATGAATCAATGCACTGGGCCTCTAGTAAATGTATAAACAGTTTGACTAAAACATTAATTGGAGAACAAAAAACTGAAAACCACTTATATATTCATAAATAAGTGATAGGCTGAATAATTTCTAAAACAGCCACCCACCATTTAAAAGAATTATCTGCATTCATTACAACAAAAGTTTTCTATATTTCCTAAAATGGACAAATCTCACTGAAATTGAATTGAATAAACAAAGCCCATGAGCAGGGCATGATGACACCTTAAAAAAAAAAAGTATGAAACGCCATAGTTTTACTCCAGTATTAAAAATGATTCATGATAGTTTTTATAATTATAATTCTCTAAGAAACTTCTTGTTTTGCCTATAGAAATACCCATATGTGTACTGCACAAACTGAAACGCAAGTGGTTTCTCCCTTTTGAGACTGGTACTAGTACCGTATTTTTCGGACCATAAGACACACCGGACCATAAGACGCACCAGTTTTTAGAGAAGGGAAATGAAGAAAAAAAGATTCTGAAACAAATAGTGTCCTAAAATATTTTATGTGCATTAAAACCCAACATCACAGTCATAAACACATGTAATCAACCCTGTAAAGTAAACAGCAGCATTTAGAACCATTTTAGAGCCGGGCAAGCACACACAGACCACACAGAGCCGGGCAAGTAAAAAAACTTTTTTTTTTAAAGTATATGTGTAGGCTATATTTGGACCATAAGACGCAGGGACTTTTCCCCCCCACTTCTGGGGGGAAAAAAAGTGTGTCTTATGGTCCGAAAAATACGGTATGTCATGTAGAGTAGCATCTTTTCATTTGAAGAAATTCATTTTCCTAATTTGTGGAGGAGGTTTGTGGATTTTGACTATAGTTTTGGAATCTAAATGTGCTTATCTACAAATAGAGCAGTAAATATACATGAAATATTTTATTCTAGTTCTTGTTGTATTGAAATTAATTTGAATTTAAGGACCATAGTTTTTATTTTATTTTATTTTTTTTAGCTTATCTTTATTGTTGAAAGTATTACAGATGTTTTAAGATCACTGTTATATTATTTTTAAAGATCACTTCTCTTGATATCTTCAATCTGGAGGGTAAATTACTTCTTTTACACATTCCTTTGATTGGGTACATTGTGAGAAAATATAGTTTGTTGTTAAGCATGATTTGATAAAAGTTATAATTATATCACAGATGACATACCTGAGAGAAGCTTTCTTCATTTCTTCTCAAGGAGTCGTTTTTGTTGTTCTAACATCAAATGCTTATTTAGTATCATTAACTTGCATACACTTGGAAGGACAATGTTTTTTTAGTTAAACATTCTAATCTAGATTTCTTTGGAGCATGTATACTCGCAAGACAAAAAATAAAGTACTGTCCTTTTTGTCATATTGCCTTGAGGTGCATTTGAAAAAGTTTCTATGCGGCTTTATTTTTACACTACAAAGAACAGGAAAGAATGGACTCACAGGGAAATATTATTTGGTCATAAAGTTGCCAATAGTGCAGATGTATTGAGTTATGCATGGATTTCAGATTGTTTAGTAAAAAGTTTCCTTTTCAAGTACCAATATAGACAAGCATATTCAGGGAGATCCCTTAGTCAGTAATCTGCATTCCTAATAATGAACTTGCAAGAAATAAGTCTTTCTGTCTTTTGCACCACTTGATCATTTATTTGCCAATTGAGATTCCATTTTATAAAACTGTTATTGAGTTTAGAATTTTGGTTCATAAATTTTAAAGTTGACACTTATGTAGGGGACCAGTCTTTTAATATATTCTTTAAGTAAAACAACAGAGGTTAAAATAAAAAAAAAGGGGGAGACAAAGCAACATTCTGTGCCCCTAGGTGTGCACACAACATCATCGATCTCATATTCCTGACAAAAATTCATAATATCTAATCATCATGAATTACCAGAGAAATATAAATTGTGGGATAGTTAGTAGAAAAATTGGCTTGAACGAGAAAAAAAAAGTCAATGTCATGAAAGATAAAGGCTGAGAAACTGTTTCTGATTAAAGGAGAGTAAAGAGACAAGGCAACTAAATACAATATGTAATTGTGGATTAGGAAAAATATTATCTACAGAAACATTGTTGGCACAATTGGTGGCATTTGAATATGTATTGCATAATAGGTTGTAGTATAATATTGTATCAGAGTTTCTGAATTTTAATAGTAGGGTGGTTATGTAAGAGAATGTACTTGTTTTTTTTAGCAAATACATGCTGAAGAATTAAAGGTTTAAAAAGTCACTATGTCTGCAACTAACTTCACATATTGCAGGAAAAATATTATAATATGCAGAGAGAGAGAGAGAGAGAGAGAGAGAGAGAGAGAGAGAGAGAGAGAGACAGACAGACACCAAGGGAGGACATAAATGTGTCAGAATTTGTGATTCTGACAATTCTGGGCAGAGGGCATCATAGAAATTCTTTGTACAATTCTTGCAGCTCTTCCCATAAATTTGAAAGTATTTAAAAACAGAAAGGTTCATAAATTAAATAATTAACCAGAAGGAAAATGATTTATTACATGTAAGCCAACACTTCAACATTAAAGCATTATATCATAGCTCTACTAGAAGATGCATTATTATAGCTGAGTTTTTGTTGGACTATAAATTCCTAACAAAAGGTCTATTAGACTCCATAAATTCTTAACAAAAGAAGCAAGAGAGAACTCATTTCTGAATCTCCAGATGTGGAGACAAGATCATCAGTCCTGGGAAAAATTCTTACAGTGCAGGGTGAGACAGGTTGATGCCAGAGAGGAAATCCTGGGATATGGAAAGTACCTGGGGGAAAAAGAATTTCTTTTAAAGTACAGCTCATAGGGCCATAATACCCAGAGCGGTGTAATCTTGGCTCTTTTATATTCAAACTAGAGGCCTGGTGC